CACTGCTGGTGTGATCAGAAAAGACTCATTTTATTCATTTCCATAATAATTTGAGGGGTTTTGGAGGGCAGTAATCAAAAATCCTTATTGAAATTATTCATCGAGGCAATGACAAACGGAAAAGTTGATGTAAATGTAATTTATTGTTTTCATTTTCACTTATAATTTCCAACTAGTCCTCCACCCCCAGCAGTTAACTGTATAAAGGTGTGACCAGTTTCAGAAGAAGTGTTGGTATTGATATTAGTAAAGAACATAAGCCAATCAAATGGAGAGATTTTCAGCAGCTTAAGCCTTTGAAAATGCTTTTCCTTTCCAATCCTTTCACTCACACTGTCTTTCTGTTCCCCCCTGTAATAGTAAACGTTAGAATTTCTGTTCTGAACGCTCAGGTCGGACAGCAGCATGTACCTCTGGAAACAAAGGCGGTGAAGAAAAGCTTCAGTTTTGCTCTGCTCATTAGTCAGAGCAAAGAGGCTGTCACGTATGGTCAGTGGGAGTGCAGAGCAATGTGGATTTAGTCATTATGTGCTGTATTGCTTTTGTTCCTCAGGCGAAATTTTAGACAGGAGGCTGCGTTTCTCACCCTAAATATCATTCCTATTACCAAAGCCACACACACACACACACACACACAAAAGAAGAAAAAAAATACTAGAACAAATCACAGACACTTCAATGACTGTTAATGTGTGATTAAGGATGCTTAATTATTTGGCTGCACATCTGGCAATTCAGTCTGATATGATCCTATTTTAAGTACCGTCGTAAAACAGCACAGCATCTTGACAACGTTTGATGAAGACGGCGGGGTCAGAAACAAAACGGCACATTTTCAGTCGTCACGTTTTTGCCTCGCTGTCACAGAATGACATCATGCTGGTTTGTGTGAGTGCACATTGTAGCCTCCTCTGCACCATCAGGAAATGATGTGCTCCACGCAGGAGGAGGAGGAGGAGGAGGAGGAGGAGGAGCGGAGGGGGATGCATGCTTGGCTCGGCATCCCATCCACAGAGAAGTACCATTTCAAGACAAAGCGGTCGTGTACAGCAGCGGGTCGAATCTCAGCGTAAAATAAAGACATGAACGAGGAGGAGTGAGGGAGGGAGGGAGGGAGGGGTATATTTAGCTAACTCTGTTGTCTGATAGGCAGAAAGTGGAGCCAGTCTAACCTCAGGATTTGCTGTTTTATATCATTGCAGATTGAATATCTTTTGGGATTGGACAGACAAACTAAAGTTGGCCTCAGCTCAGGCTCTGGGGAACTATGATTAGATGTATTTTACAATTTCTTTAACACTTTATGATAAAAAAGTGGATCGATATTCAACAGAAGAACAGAAAAATGAATCAACAATGTAGACAATTACTTAACTTTTACTCTGATTATGTTCGCTGCACCGGAACATTATTTTCATTAATGATTCATCTACTAGTTACTTCCTTGATTAACAGTTGGATCTATGAAAAAAATGTTAAAATTGTCCACCGGCAGTCTATAAAGCAGCCTGCTGTGCAATTTGAAGTGAAAAAAATTTCATTTTCACCACAATATTCTAAGTAATTTTCTCCAATTCATGCCATATTATAATAACCTGCAAAAGAAATATTACATTTGTGAAGGATTGATTGAAAAATGTAGCTTTTCTGAATGGCAAAAATGTGGAATTCACTGAGTCCTGCAGTGATAAACGGTTGTTTTTAGACAAGTCGTCCACCACTAGTGGTAATTTAAAGTTAGAAATGAATTCTTGAGAAGTACCATGAGCTTTAATCGCAGATCCTTATATATATTTAACTGCTCAGACTACATTGGTCCATATATCAACCTTTTTTTTCCTCAATTATTTGTTTTGTCTACTTAAAAATTTAAAAAATGGGAAGCATCACCCAACATCCAAAACCTAGAGTTGCTCAGTTAAACTGTTTCCCTGAGGTACCCGACCAAAGTGGTCGATAAAGTTCCATCTGATCTTTCCTGTGATTCATAGAAATTCACATTTTGTGCAGAAAAATGTCTCCTCAAAGTAGAGTTATCGTTTTTTTTTTTCATCAAACAACTGACTGTGACTGATGTATTAGGTGTTATTGTTGGATATCACCAAGACCAGAGGTGTGAATCACAGGAAACAACCTGCATCCATGACATTACATTTGAGGTGGCTTCACGTCACCAGGTGCTATTTCAGGATCAATTTTTTTCTCTCTGGTGCTATCATGGATGAATCACCCACAAGAAAGGCTTCCCATTTGCAAACGCTCTCCTTTGAACTCACCCCAGCACCTCGTCCTTTCACCTCAGTAAAGCTACGAGAGCAGTCACGCTGCACCAGCTCGCCAAAGAGTTGCAATATGATTTTTCTTTTGGTCAACATTGCTTGGCCCAGTTTGGCTCTCAGTTGCAGAATAGCATTTCAAGTCCCTTCTGCTTTATAGTTTCAGCCAACTCATTCAGGGCCGTGGATAAGAGGGCCAGCCCACACTGACAGCTTACACCTTCTGGAGTGAGACAGTAGCATTATCAACAAGGCCAGTACACGAAATAAACACAAAAACCTGTTTCTGCAAAAATCATGGCACGCACGTCGTGATGCACAAATGCACCACTATGTCAACAAAAAAAAATCATTTACGTTAACATTCTTCCTTCTAATGACAGTTAAGAACACAATAGCTTCAAAGAAACAGAAGTTAGAGCTTGTTTGATGTTTTTCAACCATAAATACCAATTCTGACTTGTCGCTGCGGGGCTTTGATAGCCAAGATACAGTGCTCAGTTCCTGTTTCAGAAGTGGGCCTGGAGGTCTAAGCTGAAGGTAATAAATATTCAACAAACTGTCAAGTCCTTTTGTTTGGGGGTGGAATTACACAGCAATATCAGCGGTGGTAATTCCCCTGCTTAATTATACAGTTTATAGTCGTATTACTTTCCCAAAAAGCCTACGCCGAGCAGACTGCCACTGTGTGCTGCAGAAATATTGCTTTAATCCAATATGCAGCTTTGTTGTCCACAAGACAAATTGAAATGAATGTGGTTTGATTTTTGAAAAAGAAATATTGTGTTTTCCTGGATGAAGCCTCCAGTTGATTCAACCCTTCTGCCTTGTTCAAAGACACAGCCACTTGTTTCTAGACATTTCCTGAGACATGTGAACATCCACGGGAAACACTTTGCTTGTTTCAGGGGGGATCTGACTGATGATTTGACTCATATGTTGGATTTTGCGGTGAACACACATAAGCCTGCAGCACCAGACCATATGGTGACTAAAGAGTGTCCAGACTTATTAATAAATCACCACTGACTGGCACACTCTTTTCTTACCACTGGAATTCTTGCCACAGATGAGGTGCTGGTAGGGCTGCAGCAGACCCCAGATCTCCGAGTCGTTGCTGATGGCTTGCTCCAGTGACTCCAGCGTAAACTTGGGGATCCCGTTGTCCCTCTCCACCAGCGCGCTGCGCAGGACGCGGCTGAACACCTCTCTGAACAGACTCTCCATGCAGGCGGTCAGGTAGATGGCAGCGTGCTCGTGGATCCGGAGCGCCACCCGACTATCCACCATCCACCTGAAGAATTTCCCCACGGAGAACACCAGCCCGCAGCGCGCAGACTTGCCTCGGCTGAACTTGTCCCCGGTGCTCATGTTGTAGAGGGACAGGGCGCTCAGAGCCGCCGTGATGCAGTTGACGGAGATGGTCCATGAGAGCACCACCTTGATGGCGCTTTGGATCTCGTGCTTGGTGCACTTGGCGTAGCGCAGGCTGAGCCGCTGCGCCTCCCGGGCCACCCTCACCAGAACGCGGCTGATGAGAGCAGACAGTCGCGCCAGGACCTCCGGCGGAGGATCGCCCACCATCAGCTCCTCGTCCTTCCTCAGTGCGCCCTCCACCTCGCCCAGGCTCCATGGCACGTCCTCCAGCTCGGGCAGCTTGGCGCACTGACCCGAGCACTCCAGTATCTCCGTGTCCTCCGCCAGGACGGTGTTGACTGTGTCCAAACTGTTGTGTCTGCTGTGCATGGATTCGGTCAGATGCCAGCAGTTGCCCCCATGCGAGAAGGACTGATGCGTGTCGGAGCAGCACAGCGACACGCTGGACGACCTGACCGAGTCCGCGGCTCCACCATAACCAGAATCAAGCGTTAAATCCTCCAGCGTCCTCACGACTGTCTTACCCTTGCCTGCCATAACTGCACCGCATACTGTTGGGTATGCTTGGTCTCTCAGTTAAAAGCCACAAACTCGTTCCTGAAGCCTTTCCTCCACCCGATGATTTGTATTTCCCAGCGTCAAGAGTGAGACGACAGAAGTGAGCATCCACTTTTCTCCTTGTCTAAGTGGCTGGATGTCTTCGATCTCCTCCTTTCCACAACTTCATACGCGTAAAGCGAGAGCGCACAAACCCTCACTGCAACAAGCGCAGCGCAGGCAGGACTCTGATGGAGAGGAGGAGCCTGGAGAGCCGCGGGCTGAGACGAGCCAATCCGCTCCGCCGTCAGCTGTGACTGACACAGACGAGCTACCTGCTGCTTTCCAGCACAAGCTACCTGAAGCACCACTGTACAATGGGAGATACACAAGCGCAGGCTGCTGTGCCAACCAGTGTGTAGCTGCAGTGTCATGAGGAGGATGAGGGGAGAGGAGGAAGCTCCCTGACATGATGGAAATGTTAATGCAGACAAATGTCATGTACAAATATAGAGCAACCTTTTATTTGTGTTTGATTGTATTGTTCCTCTGTCAAAGAGGATAAACGGTGAGCGGGGAACCCAAACACAGCTCCACTGGTACATATGATTCATTTTTCTAGGTAACTGAAGGTCATTGAATTGCTTTGTCTCCTTTTATTTATTGCTGCATTTATGTTATAATGACAGTGGCTCTGTTTGGATAATTGAAGGGTCTGTGAGAGCAGCTCGCTGAGCAATTTGAGGTTCAAATGATTTCATTTGCACTAAAAAATGGTAATGATTTTACATCTCAGCTACGTCGTAAAAATAAAATAACTGTTATTTTGTTTTACTGTTGAATTACAGATAATAAAAGAGTCTCAGAAAAAAAAAACATTAATGGTATGTTAACTTTAAAAAAATAAAGAAAAAAGAAACAGGCCAGAATTGTCCAAAAAAAATCTGTATTTTTATAAATATATTTTTGTATATTTTTTTGTATACATATATATATGTTTGTTTTACAGATATTTGTCTTTGTTGTTTTTTTAAATTGTATATTAGGAATTTAAAATTTATTAATTTTTCATTGTTCCTATTTGGTTAAATTGTAGATAATGTTTAGTAAAGTAAAAGAAAAATTTATTAATTTACTAAAACATAAAAAACAAAAAAACAAGACAAAACCGTTCATAACATCAACTTCAAAAATTGGCATTTTTACAAAAAAATATACTTTTACTGCATTTAATTTTACAAAGAATGTCACGACTTTACAAATATTACAAATATTTGCCATTATTTATTTTTATTTTATTCTTTTTTCTTTTTTTTCTTTTTTTGAACATTACAATATTCCATTGTGTTTTTTTAAACAGGTTATTTATTGCATCCTTGCTGCCATTATTTTTACCTTTAAAAAACAAATACATTTACAGTTTTTGAATGTTACAATGTTCCTTTGTTTTTTAACAGATTTTTTTAATTGCACACTTGCAGCCAGATTTTTTTTCTTTTCTTTTTTTACAGTATAATATTACTTACACAAAATGCAACATTTCTGAATGACTAAAGGAAAAATGTACGGAAAAACATTAAGTCCACTGAGTCCTGTGATAGGTGATAAGCTGTTGCTTTTGGGCAGTTTGTCCACCGCTCGTGATAACTTAAAGTAAGTAATGAATGCAGCTCTGCAGCAGAAGTCTTTAAGAACGCCGTGGTCTTTAAAGCCAGGTCGCTATGAATATTTTACTGCTCAGAGTACATTGCTCCAAGCTTTTTTGAGATCAGATATAGTTTCAGAGACAACTCAGACCTGCAGGCCCGTCTCAAGGTTCAGCAGCACTTCATCATAATGTTGCTGAGCGAGTTCTCCCCCATAATACAACATTTCTGACAACAAAGCGTGAGTGAGCTGAATTCTGAAGGCATGCTGAGAGGAACAGTTGGTGGAATGATGATTCACCCATTCTGCTGGGGCTTCTCCTTGTACGCCTGAGCTGGACCCACCATCTGTCCACACTGCCTGCCCTGCCAGAGGGCCTTTCATATTTTCTTAGCATGACACTGCATTACCCACGCCAGAGCAGAAAAAAACTTACTACGCTGGAGTTTTGAGGGGGCGAAAATAATGAAGGGACGCCTCCACTCTGGTAGAAGTGATTGGCAGAGAGGAGTGTAAAACAAATCATGTCAGTGTTTTAGTGTAATTGTTTAGCTGACAAATGGTAAAAATAATAACAGCACCACACTGCATGATGAGCATCTTAGAGTGGAGGCTTCGCTTTGTTTATGTCAGAACCCTCCACAGAACCAGCACAAGACCATGATAATAATAATGATTAGAATCACGACTCAGAACCCCATGAAGAAGACGTATTTGATCATGTTATTATAATGCCTTTTTAATGAAGCACGCTCCATACACAGAGCACATAAAGAGTTGTTCAGTTTTACGTCAGCAGGTGCCACCATTATCACGCCTCGTCCTCCAGTCTGTGACATTAACCGACTTCTTCTCCAGCAGTCTGCCACGAGCTCTTGATGCAATGCAGCAGATCTTGCTGACTAACTCAGGTGAGAGTGGTGGAGGTGGGCAGCTGTCAGCTGCGTCTCTCCCATGCACCGTGGTGCTCCAGAGCTTGTCCTCACTTATTAAGCCTTGGTTGCCTGGTAACAGAAAAATTATCATGATTTTCCCAGCAAGATGATAGATTGTTAGTATTTTTGCCAGCAGAATGAGTATCATACAAACATGCTTCCTTAGTCATGCTGCACTGACGCGCTTGTTAATCGGTTTGTAGGTTGTTCTTCGTGCTTCGTGTGACACTATGTTGCTTCATACTGTTTTATGTCTGGACACTCTAAGAACACCTTCTCTGACTCGCTTTAACATATCGGACTTTAGTCTCAAGAGTGTTTAACTGTGAATAAAAAGATAAATAAATACATTAGATTTTTCTACATTTGGACTCTATAATAATAATCATTTTTATAGTAATAAAATCAGTAGAGTGTGTTGTATGATATTTATTCAAATTCTTATATACATACATGTGCTGCTGCCTGTCTTGATCAGGACACTTTTATAAAATCCTTAATCTCAAATAGACTTTTCCTGGCTAACGAACTACATAAATGTGTACAGACATGTGATCATACTGGAATATTGCTTAATAAAGAAAAGGAAGCATCCTGTGTGAACTTCTTATTATCATGTACAAATAAATGCATTAAATTATCTGGCAAATAGAACGGGGTATTTGTGGCATGGTGTTATACTGCCCCTCAGTGGCAGGAACAAGGTACTACTTCAACCGGCCAAAGCCGCATTTCATGTCTTGCATAATTACAGGCCGTTTTATATAAGAGTGCTGTGACGCATTTTTTTTTCTTTTAAATATCAAACAACACAATGTTTACAGAAAATAAGACACAAACTACTACAGCTACGTATTATTACAACCAGGTATAATAATAATAATAATAATAATAATAATAATAATAATAATAATAATAATAATAATAATAATAATTAGACATGCACACACTACATACAGATGATTATTAGGACATATAATATATCTTGACTTTTGGCAAGTTTATTTGTGTGGCCCCTTTCAGAATAAAAGGCACTGTGAGTCCACTTAAAGACATGAGAGACAGGCAAGTGTAGTACAAGATATGTATGAATAGCCCCAAATGTAATATAATAGAGGACAGAAGCAAATAGAAAAGATCTGAGTTGTGATTTAAACAGCAACTCTCAAATACTCTTCTGAAGTCAATTGATTTCTATCAGCAAGCTGGGTACATTTGAGAGCAAATGGTAGTCTACGGTAAGAAAAAGTGATTTAATATCAAGTGTGACTGTGCTACTACAAATCTTCACACACACACACACACACACACACACACACACTGCATGAGCGGAGATTTCATTTAAACATTGAGGAAACACCTAATTTCCTGCATTCTGGGGATTTTTCCTTCACCAAATGTGTGACTTTACAGCATCAATCTATGGTGTAAATGTCTTAATTCATGTGTGATGCTGTACAATGAGGCACACATCACAGTTTGGGTTCATGTGCACGGGGCTACACATACAGTCTTCATACACGTGGGCTTAGAGTTCATTTGAATGCTTAATTTCCCTCATTCTGATGACTTTTTATGCACTAATTTGTGCCTATTTTGCATTTATTTATAGTGGAAATGCCCCTTTTTATGTCAAAGACTAACAATATTCAAGCACTGGTTGACAAATCAAATATAATCAAATATTATATTCATGTTATTCTGAGTGAAACAGCGTATAAATAAGAGCATTGTTACGTCATTAATGGGGTCATTTCAAAACAAAAGTCTTCAGCTTCCTGTGTGTGGGGGGAAAAAATGCACGTGTTCTAAATATGGAGAGGGACTAAGCCCATGTGTCCTCCCTGGAAATTACATATATGCATGAGTCATGAATCTGTGGGAGCATAAATTGGTGTAAAATTGAGACACCAGATAATAATTGAAAATTATAAGGAGAAATAATGCAGTGAGGCTGATTCTCCTGCACATCAACTTTTCTCATTTAGTATTATCTCCTCTGAGTCAGCATATTTGGATTCTGTCCTTTTTTGTGTGTTCTCTCTTTGGGGTAGTAAGCCTTTTTTAAATGTGCATGTGGCACCCTCTCATAATATTTGAATTAACATAATAAGTCTCTGGAACTTTCTGCATATTTATAACACAGAAAAAGAAGGGGCTATGAGTAAAAGTTATCTTATCAAAATAAAAGTTATTTGCGTATTTAATGATTTTATATGAGGGGGGAAAATCCACGTGCTGTACCTACTAAGGAGGATGAATCCCCTGCATTCCCCGAAATCTACGCACTTGAACGTCTGCTCATGCCAGACTTCATGTGATAATCCGGGTACTTTTATGACAGCTAAGCTGGTATGCTCTTCCGGCTGACAGAGACCTTAATTATTATGTTTTTTTGTTTGTTTGTTTGTTTTCTAAATCCCCAAATGAGCCTTGTAAGTGCGTACAACCTGAATGACTTTTTTTTTTTTTTGCATGAACTTGTTTTTTTTGTTTGTTTGTTTGCTTGTTTTGTTTTCTTTTTTATTTTAACTTCAGAAAACACCTCAAGCGAAACGGACATTCTCGTACCCTCTGAGACAATAATTAGCCGAGCCTCGTAAATTAAATTACTACCACGCAGAGGCCGCCCCGGCTGCCATAAGAGGTCACAATTCAGTCATTTCACCGCAAGTGAGTCCACGGTACATGCTGGCTGAGCGGAGCACGCTGCAGAAACGTGACCACGCCGAGACGCTGACGCAGCGGCGCGGACCAATCAGGGAGCTCGGAGCTACGCACGTCTGCGGGGAGGCGGAGTCACGACTGTAGGTGCGGCGAGGAGCAGGAGCAGCTATTCGTGGAGGTTGAGGAAAAAATTCGCATATAACAACTCAAAACATCTGTTCGGCAGTGAGGGAGACCGGTCGCACGGATCCGAGAAGCGTTTTTTGTCAGCTAAGTACTCGTCCGGTTCACGCTCAGGCGACGAATTTGTCAGTATCGCATTTAGAAATTTGTATTTACATAATCAGCTTTCCCCGGTATTCGCGGCGGGGAGCAGCCGGTCCTGTCGCCGTGTGTTGTGTCGTTAGCAACAGCCGATTGGCTCACTCTGCAGACAGGTATTAACCAGTTATTACGATAAATATTGTGTTTGAAGCGCGGGCCTGGACAACGGTATCAGTACATGTGTGTGTTTTTACATGCATTTTTCATCATTCAGAAAAACAAGTTATACAACAAGGCTGCTGCGCGCTGAAGATCCAGGTCCTAAAGCCCGCCGCGTTAGCCGACACACTGCCGGAGAAGCGCGCGCTGTCTCGTGTCCCAATGGTTCAGCAGTCGAGCGTTTCTGAATTTTTCGACACGATGGAAAAAGTTCTGTTAGAGCAAGGTTAACGGGACCGGAACCAAAACACAGCACACAGAGACTTTTATTCACACACTTGGACCCCCCACTGGACTTCCCCCATCCTTTTTTTTCTCCTTTTCTTTGGTTTCATTAGGATAAACTGTGGGAATAAACGAGGAGCGAGCACCAAAGAAAGACTGCTGATATAATTCAAAAAGTTAAAAAGGGCTCGTCCAGTTGAGTAATGGTCATTAATACGATCCACTGGTTCAGGAAGGGCTTGCGGCTCCACGACAACCCGTCGCTCAAGGAATCTCTGCTGGGAGCAGACACCGTCCGCTGCGTTTACATCCTCGACCCCTGGTTCGCAGGATCGTCCAACGTTGGGATCAACAGGTGGAGGTGAGCAGAGCACTGGAACACGTGCCGACACAGATGCATGATCAGAGGGGTAGATTTCACGGGGGGCAAAATCTAAAACACATGCATTTGCACCCATCACCCAATGAAGTCACTACATATTGCATTTAGACGGGTGTTGCAGCATCACTTTACACATCACATAACACTTAACTTGCAGTAAGCTGACATTAAGCATGTGATAAGAAAAAAAATAAAAGTATATGCACGTGTATGAAATTGCTGTACTAGGTTTTTTTTAAATAATGAGAAAAAGATAACAGAACTTTCACCATCTAAATTAAAGTTGCATAAGCCAATCTGTAGTCTCTAGACTCTTTTGCATGTTTTTTTTAATTCTGAAAAATATGAATTATGAGCTCATTTAAGCACTCAGTCAGTTGTAGAAAATGAAATCCGTTCAATATGTATTCCATTACATATTGATTTCTCACCTGCTGTGTGAAATCTGTGTTTTTGTTTGCATAAGTAGAAACATTTCCACCTTACATTGATGCAGAAAAGGCACAAACTGGTGCAGAAAAGTTTAATTACAATGCAGGAAATAAAGTTTTCAGAGGCATCCAATGTGTATGATGACTGAATGTGCAGCACGCTGCTGTGACGCATGCACATCATTCATGAATAAAGACATTGACACCAGAAAAGGCACAAATTGGGGCATAAAAATTCACCAGAATCCAGAAGATGAAGTGTCTGATGCTCATAGTTTCCTGGGAAAGTACACGCAGACACCTTGCGTAATGTGTCCTCCCCAGCGCTCAAACTAAATCTACACCCGTGTGTGTGTGTGTGTGTGTGTGTGTGTAGTTCTGTAATAGTACAGTAGCTAACATGCTTAAAATCAAATCATCTTTTTCCACAGTCTAACATTTGCTCTCATATTTACCCAGTTTGCGATTTGCTGTTCAGGCCTTTTCTGTTTGCCTCGGCCCTTCTGTTAAATTAAATTTGGGACTTTTCGTTCATATCTTGGACTACACTGCTTCTCTTTCTAAGGCCCTTTTATTGCTCAAAGCACTTACAGCTGCCTTGTCCTTGAAAGCTGCCACACAAATGGACTTTCCAAGATGTATTTGTCACCCGGTGCCTGACATTTTTTGTGTTTCCCTTACATTATAACAGACATTTCCACCACAAATTGATCTGAAAAGGCACAATTTGGTGCATCAAAATTCAACAGAATGCAGGAACTAACATGTTTGGCACTTACAGACCCCCGCTTGATGTGTCTCCCCCTCAATATTCAAATGAAACCTGCGCTCATGTGTATGATGACTGGATGTGCAGGACAAAACGCGTGACACAGACTGTGGTGTGTGCATATCTGGATGTGCATGATGTGTGTATTTCACATACACATTTGGAATGCTGTTTTTTTGCTAATGACATGTAGACTGCAACAATTTTAAAAAATGGTTAATTAATTTAGCAAATCGGTGTTTTCGTTCATTCAGTCATTCATTTGTGTAACTTTTGAGGCAGACAAAGTCAAATATTTGCTGCTTTCAGCTTCTTAAATGTGACTGATGCAGCTTTTTTTTGGTCCTGTATAACCACAAACTGAATATCTTTGGGTTCGGACAGATAAAACATGCACTTTGAAGATGCCATAAGAAGTATGACTTTGCAATTTTCTTGTATTTTACATGCAAAATAATACATTCGGAATGCAATAAAGAGATCAAATGATGACAAAAATACCTGTTAGCTAACAGATGCCCATGAAATTCAGGCTTGGTTTTTTTGCAATGCTTCATGCAGAGACCCAACACTGCTGGGTTTGCACCTGTCCCAGTTACAGAACACTGCTGTTGTCAAGTGTCTCTGCAAGACGTCCGGTCAAATACAGAAGTATGTAACGGCTAGTTTGGTACAGCGTTGTCTAACGGGTCTTATCTTGCATTTTTGTGTCAAACAGAGAGGTCGACTGCCACACTTAAAGTTTAGAAGAGCTGCAACTAACAGATTGTTGATTGTTTCTCAATTAGTTAATTCGTTGTTTGGTCTATAAAATGTCAGAAAATACTGTCGATCAGTGTTTCCAAACGCCTGAGATGACATCCTCAGATGTCTTGTTTTGTCCACAACCCAAGAGGGGAAAAAGGAAACCAGAGCATGTGTACGTTTATGAACCAGAATCAAAGAATTTATGCTTTATTTCTTTAAAAAGTTGCTCAAACCAGTTAATTGGTGTGAAAAAAATAGTGGGCAATTAATTTAATAGTTGATGCCTAACTGATAAAGCATTGCAGCTGTAAAGTTTAGTTTATTGTCACACTCAAAGAAAGTCTGAATGCTTTAAAAATGGACAAAACAGAAGTTTGCATTGCAACATCAAGTCATCACAATTTTTATGATCTGATTCGTGACGTACATTACACTCAAACAGTTGTCTTGAAACCATACAAACACACAAGTCGTTGTTGATATGAACATATATAAGATTCCTAACATATGATTTGCACTCCTAATCCAAGTGTTTCCAGTTCTCCTTGCAATCCTTAGATGTACCAGAACATTAAACTACAATCACGTTTAAACAAAACTGAACAAAGAACAGAGGAAACATCAATTATGTCAATTAAACTGGGCAAAAATAAATAGTGATTGGTGACATCACACATAATTTATAACCTTACTTTTTCCTTTTCCTCAAACAGTATTTTGGTGTGTTGATTCTCGCCTCCCTGCTAGACTGTAATTATCGTCTAACTGGGTTTCAGAGGACATTTTGGTGATGTAATGTTCAACTCTTGTCAGAGAAAAGTTTCCTGAAATCATTACAGCACATACCACATACCCCCACTGTGGTCTGTGTCAATTACGCCGTGGAAGTTGCACTCAGATCGGCAGTTATTTCTGATATAGATTAGACACCTGGCAGGCGTGGAGCTGAGCCAGAGCTGTAAATACACAATGAGCAGGCTTTAATCTCTAAACATTCTCTTCAGGTTGTCAAATCTAAATTTGAGTTATCTGGAAGAACAAGTTTGGATGCTTAGTTTACCTTTCCCCGCTTTTCTCAAATGGCTCACAGTTCTGTCCTGATCTGACCCTGCATATCTCCACTTTTTTTTTTTCTCCTTTTCGGTAGAGAGGATATGGATCATTTAAGAGGAACACTTTATGTAACTGACATTTTTTGAACTCCAGACTGTCTGGAAGTGTGTACGATTGTTTGACGACCAAGACAGGAACAGTCTGTTTGGGTCTGGTGACATTATTAAGTATATGAAGCTTTACAGGCTCATGTGACATAGATAAGAGAGAGAACTGAAGGGAACTGTTTGCCCGCCTGTCACCCGCTGGCTTTGTCCTGCTTCTCACAGTCAGAGTTAGCCTTCAGCATTATGTGCAAGAGGGTTTTCCCAGTCAAAGCTAATTGTTTGGCGACGCTTTTACCCAACTTGGTCCGAGACCCAGACATTTGTTCAGCCCCACAAAGTTGTTCTGTTGCCTGAAATCAGTTATGTGGAAACTGCAGATTTTTTTTTGTGCCAGATTTAATAGAATACACATTTAGCTGCTGGATGGAAACGCCCCTCAAGTTCCCAGTGCAGTAGGTGTCCCGCTGGATGTTTTAGTTTCCGTCTCCTGCTGCGCCGCTCTGGTTTGCGTTGCGGTGCCATGCCGTCTGTGCGAGAGTAGGGCAGCAGCAGCAGCAGAAAAGGCGCGCCTGTTATGAGCATCCATGTTATGCTTCCACGCTTATGTAACAGCAGCCTGGGGTGACGCAGTGTGCCCTGATTCATTCCCTTTATTTTGGTTTTCACGTCCATATCACACATGTACATGGAATATAAGCACACAGGACAACTCATTGAGAGGACTAAGATTTGTCTTTTTCAGAGTCAAGAGACAGTCCCAGTAAAATAGTTTGTTTAGTCTGTGCACTTATTAGATTTTTTTCTTTTCATAGTCTTTATATAAAAAAAGAAATGTATGTAGAAGTATGACAGAAAGCTTAAGTTGAGATTTATTAAACCAAGTTTCCATAATTTCCTAATATATTCTAAACTATTTCTGCAGCGCCTTTTACGACTTTATTTACAAGGTGCTTAACAAAACGGCGCAACAATAAAACACTAAAAAGCGACAATAAAGCATTAGAATGACATAACATATTATCCACATCTGTAGCTGTTTGAAGGCACTGACTGAGTTTTTCTGACAGCAAGATATGATTTATTGTGAAACTTGAAATATTGCTTAAAAGCTGGGTAATATTTCCATGCTCTTATGAGTATGAACATGTTCAGTTCCATTAGAAAAGCTATTAGTACTTGAAAACTTTCCCAACTCTGGAACATTTATGTCTCTGGTTTTGTATCTCGCAGTCTTCTTGCCTCAAACCAAAACTGTGCAAAGCCACAAAATATATCAATGCAGCATTAAAAGCTTGCCGTAGCCTGCAGCGTCTGTAATTAGCACCTGTTCCTGCGCTTTGTTATTATCTAAAATGTAGGCAAAGGGTCCTTGAGATCTGAGGGGTGATCCTCAGTGAGCAAGGCGGGCCGATGCCAGATGACATAATCATAATAACTGTCCCTCCCCCCAACATCGGCAGGCACATGGCATAAGTAGGTCAGTGTGTTAGTAAAGCCCCATCCCGCTTGTCTTCTTCGACCTACTTCTTCTTTCCCACTGCTGCAAGAGACCCCAACTATCTCTGGTCAGCTATCTCCACCCGACAGCGAGCGTTAATCCCGGCAAAGCTGCATCCATCTGATATCCGTTTTCGCATCGTGCTTTATGCGTTGGAACTGTGTAACCCAGTCGACAGCGTTGTGCTGGGTGGCCCATGATTATGAAAGACCTGTACGCTGTGAAAGAAGCTCATGAGGATGTAATTACTGTGGAGTGACTCCATAAAAAAGCTGTTTATGAAACGGAGGATGGATGTAGGAGTGTCAGAGGACAGTGTGGGAAAAATAATGAAACAGTCATGGATGGATTTCTTTGCACAATGAAGCACGGCTTTGTCTTTGTCTGAACTCCCCGCATGAATGTAGCTTAAGCTCGCTGTTTTTCTGGTTGAGTCAGATGATTTGAGTTGGGCTTTGTAGTGTCACACTGACCTCAGAGATCATGAGTGCAAAGCAGCCAGCGGAGTGAGTGACCACAGGCTCAGCATCGATCTGGGCTGAGATTTTAAATAGGCTTTTCAAATAGCCCTCAGATAAAGCTCTAGTTGGAGCGGACAGCTTCCAGATGTGAATGTATATGGCTGAGTGAGAATGAAGAAGGGTCTCTCTGGAAATGACGTTCATACTCCACTAATAAAAGGTTGAAAAAAAATCCACTTCACCACTTCCTACACATTTAAATAAGGAAATTACCACTGATAACTTTTTTTTCTCCTCTTGCTCTGCTGTGCTGCTTCAACAAAAACGTAATTGTGGTGACCGGATTTTGGCAGTGTTTCACAATTATCATTCTTCCCCTGTAGCCCCAAAACTCACCAGTGGGTTTTAAAGGCATGTTTTCTTTAAAATGCCTCCAAAATTACACCGTTAATCATTGCAAGAAACTGTAGTAACAGAAGTAATCACCAGATTTAGTATCATATGTGAATGTAGACTTTCAACAGGAAAAATAACCCAAACTAAACTGAACAAGCACAAACCAGATTCCTAAAGAGATAAAGATAAAATCCGTGCTCCTGAGTGCAGCTGAGAGGCTGTGATTCACTCAGCCGCGTTCAATAGTTACATGACCAAAATGTCCAAACTGTTTGTCTGGTCTGGGCTGAACTGCAGGCTGTGCTGCTTACACAGGGTAGAAAGGAGACAAGAGAAATTTAGAGGAAACAGCAGCACGGTTCAAAAACGGCATACAGAGGAGCAAGTTGTTGGAAGATGCATTCATCATGGTGAAACATCTTTTTGGAGTTGATGTGCAGAGTAGATGTGAAAACACCCAGTCCATAGAGGTGGTAAAAATGTAAATGTAATCAGATAGCCTCTCTGATGATTTGTGACACTATAACCGTGTCGTTCATACGGCCCAGACGACATGTCTGCGTTCTCTTTCCTTCTCGTCATGGCTGTTCTATTTCCATACAGATGCGGAACTTTATATTGCAGTGATGAATAAGGCCACAGTGAGCAAAAATGAGATGGAAGCAAAAACAAATGCCCAGAAACTGCTTGGGTGGGCTCTAGACCAGTAAATTTGTGTTGGGTTTATGTGAAGTTTAAAAGACTGATGCTATTGAGGCGCCGCTATAGCTCACCTGGTTGAGCTGGCGTCCCATGTGCAGGGCCACAGTCCCGATGTGGACGTCATGAGTTTGAATCCTGCTCATGACCCTTTCCCACATGTCCTCTCCCCTACTTTCCTGTCTCTCTCTCACTAACACTATGCACAAAGGCCAAAAAAAAAAAAAACTTTAAAAGACTGGTGCTATTGTTTTACAAAACTCTCATCCACATTAATGATTCTCAGCTAATTTTAATTAAAACTTGCATACATTATCCAGGTGTAGCGATGACAAGCACAGATTTAGTCCTGAACTTGTTTTACTCACATGTAAAGCATCAGTCAAATGTGGTGCTCAGCAGTGAGTTTCAGACGTCTGACTTACTTAAGGTCATTAACCTTAAAGTTAATTGTTGTGCTGGTGTTTCCATTTAGCCCACGTGGGGCACATTTGATTGTAATTGTGCACTCGGAAGTCTGACCTAAAAATGAATGATAGCAACAGAATCAGGATAATAACTATCATTACAATCTCCACACCTCTGCTTTGGCTGAACCTGTTATAATGTGTTATTGGTGTGTCAGTAGAAGGGGGTGTAAGCTGTGAGCGTTAATCAGCAAGCTTCTCAAAAATTGACACAGAATTTCATGCAAAATTATGTCCTTCAGTGGATCATGATTTGATAGTTTTGCCTGGTTAAGTGGGTGTGAAGATGATTTATTAGTTGTAATATTTGCATTATGGTTTTAAATAGGAGAGTGTGAGCTGGTTGTTTGAGTTCGACCAGCAGTGGAAAGTTTTTACAGTTCATACTTGACTTTCACATCAGTAGTAGATGTGATGAGACCTACATGATACAGGAAGCTTCCACCTACGAGTTATGGTACCTATAGCAACAACACGGGAAGCAGCGTGTTACTGCCGCTCTGTCTACACTCATGTGTGTGCCTGTGGCTGGGTGCTCTGATGTTTACACTTTCTTGTACGATCAAACAAAGGCAAATGATTTGGTAGAAAACTGTGAAATACAATCAACACAGTGTCTGCTGATAACTGTAAATGTGTCTGTTGGTCATATTTTCACCTGCTGGGTCAGTATGTTGTCTTTTTGTCTGATCACTGACGTCACCTGCAGCAATGATTAAACTCGTGTGGATGAAGGCCGGTTGACTCATCTACTGTCAGCGTGATTCAGCCTTAAGGGTTAGTTCAGGCCTTTTTAATGGAAAATAAATAATATTCAAGAGGTGTCACACTGATAAGAAGAAAAGTAGCGTTTCGGCTAATGAACGAGCTAATTAAAAGAGGTTTGTAATAAGAGACTGACACTGCAGGAGCCTCCATCAGAGATGCTCTACGATCCGTCGTCGTAAGCTGGACGCGCTTGTTTATTCATGCAAAGTGGAAGTTAAATTGGGCTATTCAGGGGTAATTACAAAGATGAAAATTGGTGCCCTCGAGGGGGATCACTTTATTTCCCTTTATAGTTATAGCAGGTTTCAGATGCCAAAACTCTGCAGGAGTAAAGTGAGGGTGAACGTTACAGGCAATTATATTTAATTAGGAATAATTGCTTTACGAGCCAAGCCAACTTAAGCCAAGAGGCATTTTTGGAAGTTGCGTAACAGGACGTTTACACACTTCATACAACTTCACTTAGTTCCATATTTAACTCAGAGTTTTCCTTTGAGAACTACGGCACCAGACTGAGTGAAAAATTTGCTAAATGAGGTGGATGTAAAAGCTATATAGTGGAGCTTTATATAATACACAAAGTTACATGAAAAAATAGTTTTCCATGTATGAAATTCTGCACTCTGAGACAAAACCGTAGTATCTGATTAAAGATGAGTAGGACTGCAACTTTTCCATGGTTAAATAATTTCCTAGTTATTGTCTTGATTATTCATGAAGTTTGTAAAATGTGAGAAAATAGTGGGAAGTCCATCACAATGTGCCAGTGATATTTTTCCCAACTAGAAATCCCAAATGAATTGTTTATTATCATAGAAGGCTCAGAAAATCAGCAAATATTCACAGTTTTTGGTTGAAAAATTACTGAAACACATAGTGGACCATCAAAACAGTAGCTAATTCCTTGTCTGTAATCTACCTTATTGATAAATTGGCTAGCTCTTTCAACAACATTGCTTTGTGTGTGTGCGAAATCTAGAGTCCCAAACTGTTCAAAATGAGACCTTGAAGTTCTTTAAATTTGTGTGATTTTTGAGGAATCACAGACAGGGTGAGAGGTTTGGATTAAAATAACACCTGAGTTTCCATGTACTGATGCCGTGGCAGATTATTCCATCTGTACCCGTCTACACTTTCCTGCTCTTGTCTTAGATATGTAAAAATAAAAGACATTATTTTAGAGGAAACCTGACCGGTTTGAGGGATTTTGCTGCACTTTTTTTTTGCTAGTAAATGCTCTCTGATATATAAGCAGTAGCCATCATTGAATTATTAGTCGTTGTGGAGAATGTCAGGTTGTTGGGCCTGTGGCATTGTTATCTAACAGTGACACACTTAACAGAAATGGGCTCCTTCACCACCATTAAAGTGGCCGTTTGTCCCCCTGCCTCCCCTGGTTTAGTCAATTCAGCCTGGTCAGACATTTCTGATGACTCACAGATCTGCTGTGTTCAGATTGCTGAGCCTTCGGCTTTGTTGGCAGACACATTTCCATCCCTCTCAGGACAGTTATTAAAACATGCCCTTTTCACTTCACGGGGTATTGTTACACAGACGGAGGCTTGTAGATGTAGCTGTGCTCTCTTTTCTACATTTTATGATTCTAATATTCAAACCTTGTTCTGTTTTCGTCATGCCACCAGGAGCCTACTTTCAAAGGCTTGCTCTACTTTTATAGTTCATACAAGAGCTGCAGCAATTAATTATTTGGTGACTGTTAAAATGATCTCCATTTATTTTTATTTATTTCTTTTTTCTTTTTTACATTTGTGCTTGTCACCTTAAGCTTTTAGAAACACTGATCCACATTTTAACCATTTTCTGACCAAACAACTAATTGATTAAGTAAGAAATTAATTGACACATTCATTTACAACTACAGTAATCATTAATCACAGCACTAGTTCCTGCTGTGAAATAAGCTAAATCCAGACTGTACATTGGGTCATAACCCTCGTCACTCGCTACATCCCTATTCTTGTTCCTTTGCATTATCAGTGCAAGAGGAAGAATTGTGGTCAGGCAGGGATTCAATTTGGGGAAACAAATCGCATTATTTCCCATCATTACAAAGGGCTGCCATTGTTGTGTAACACAACTGAACATTTGTCCGAGTTCACGTCTTTCAACTTTAGTAAATTAGGAGAACATGTTCAAGTAGGTCACTGACTTCAAATCTCTGAACTCTCTGAGATTTCTTTGCACTGTGTTGTGAACACTGTGTTCTTTCTGAGTACTTTGAGTAGCTGCCCTCACTAGATTTTGACACTTCTTGCTGTAGAAATGAACTTATCAAAGATCAAAGTGAGCTGCTTTTATTTGGTACATTTAGTTTTTTAACTTGTCAAACCCAGTAAGTCTTCATATTCAGATGAAACAGATCTAACCTTGTTTAACTTGAACACAATGACAGTGCAGCATCTTTTTTGAATTTGGACTCAGTGTCGGTGTTTCGTGTCATCCTGCAGGTTCTTACTGCAGAGTCTCGAGGACTTGGACTCCAGCCTCCGCAAGCTCAACTCCCGTCTGTTTGTGATACGAGGCCAACCCACTGATGTCTTTCCCAGACTTTTCAAGGTGACATGTCCATCTGATTTAGCCGCTAAGCTTCAGAACCAGGGTGCTGTTAAAACACAAGGAATTAAACTTTTTATGTTTTATTCCAGGAATGGAAGATTAATCGTCTGTCTTATGAGTACGACTCTGAGCCTTTCGGGAAAGAGCGAGATGCAGCTATTAAGAAGTTGGCCTCTGAGGCTGGAGTGGAGGTGACAGTTCGCATCTCCCACACACTCTATGACCTGGACAAGTGAGTTGATACCACCGCCTGCCATAGCTAACACTTATGTAATGTCATTTGTTGGCATGAAAACTGAAGTCTGTTTGATCTGTGACCCTTTCTGTTTCCCTCGCTGCAGGATCATAGAGTTGAATGGGGGCCAGTCTCCCCTCACCTACAAGCGGTTCCAGACTCTCATCAGTCGTATGGATGCAGTGGAGGTTCCTGCAGAGTCCATCACAGCTGAAGTCATGGGGAAATGCACTACGCCGCTGTCTGAGGACCACGATGACAAGTTTGGGGTTCCCTCCCTGGAGGAACTGGGTGAGTTCAGTCAGAAAGAACAACAGCTACTACTGATTATCGCTGCAACATTAGTTGAATATTGGCTTCCTACAATTAAATGACCATGATCAACTGTGTTTAAAATGAAGGCTTTTAACTTGAGTAAATCTAACATTAGTACACCTTATTACAGTCTTTTCAAGGTAACTTTTCATCACATATCTGCCTGACTGCACTGCAGTAACTGAGTGGAGACTAGAGGCTGTCGAAGCTAGCATCTACCTTAGCCTGTACATGGGGAACATCAGTAAACTGTGGAGTCTATTGATCAGCAGATGTTTAGCAGTTGAGGTGTTTTAGATACAACTTCAGTTTGTTTTGCATCGAGGAGATGCGCTGAATTCATGTGAAGAAGATCCTTGCTTTATCTTGATTTATTATTTGTACATTAGCAGGAATGTAGCGCGGCATTGAAGTGAAAGCAGTGCTCAGTTTATTTACATGTGAAAATGCAATTAAAATGCTGCATTCAAACCATAAAATCAGTCAGTTATCAAGACAAACAATCTCAATATTCAGTACAATATTCCTGATTTGCATTATTGACATAATTTCACATTCAGAATAGAACATGATGATTACTGATACCATAAACTAATTAAAGAGTGAATTTTAATTTGTGCTGTCGATGTGATCCCTGCAGGTTTTGATACTGAAGGTCTGTCCTCAGCTGTGTGGCCAGGGGGAGAGACTGAAGCCCTCACACGACTAGAGCGGCATTTGGAGAGAAAGGTCGGTCAAATCAGAAAAAATCCAACTTAGAATTTGGGGAAAATTATCTTTAGTAAAGCCTTATCCTCCTGCAGTGTCATTTAAAGATGGATTTTACAGTTATGTAAGGTAACATTTTTAGACACAGATGTCAGTGCCGGGTTGTTCCTTCTCTAATGTGACAGCCTTGATAGCCATCTTGTCAAATGTTGACATAACAACGTGCTCTGTGCATTTCCTTATCTGATCATGTGACTGTCATGTGTTGCCATTAGGCGTGGGTGGCCAACTTTGAGCGTCCAAGAATGAACGCCAACTCGCTGCTCGCCAGCCCGACAGGCCTCAGCCCATACCTGCGCTTCGGCTGCCTCTCCTGTCGCCTCTTCTACTTCAAGCTCACTGACCTCTACAGGAAGGTAAATGTCTGGAAGTGTGTATGATGATGGTTTTGCTCTGAAAGTTAAGCTCGAAAAGCTGGGGTCCCTGTTTGTTTTGGGTCCCAGACAAGCAGACATTCAGAAGAGCAGCTTGGGATGAACTGGTTCCTGCAGATTAAGACAGTGATGGTGCATTGTGGGTTATTTATAGCTTGCGTGCTGCTAGGCTAGCAAGTTTGCTCCAGGATCATAAGTGACGTATAAACACCAAGACAGATGCAGTTGTTCCAAAGTTGAATGTATATTAGTGAGTAGATGTTTTTAGAGGAACAACATAAATCAGCACAGGACACATGAGGAGGGCAGGAAATGAGAACAGAAAAATAGAAAAATGAATAAAGACCAAAAAAAAAGGACTTCCAGCTGAACGTTTGAAACATCCTATCAATAAAAGAGCTCAAAATTAAATCCTGTGCCACCTTGTTTACTGAACAAATCAAAAATTATAACCAGGATGTTTAACCGGATGTGTTGGTAGCAGTACTGATAGTAATAAAACCCTACAGCCTGACCCCACCTACAGCAGCAAACAAGCATCTCATACATGTAACAAAATCATTTACAGGAAATTGATTTATTCCAGTTTATCTGGTTTTCTAGCAGAAAGCAGAGCCTGTGATGTATTCAGTAAGAAATGCAATCCTGGTGTGTAAAACTCATGTGCAAGCTGCTTAATATTACGGTTATGTGGTTAAAATAATCTAAAAAAAAAGCCACCCGGGGATGAATTCTGATTGCTTACACAAGTCTGGCAGGAGAATGTGATGTGCAAACAGGATAAATGATCATGAAAACATACCTGACACAGAGGCACAACATATATGCTGTAATGGAAATAATTCATTTTTTGATTTAAAGAGGGAGAAAGGATTCTAGCTAAACATTGTGATGCATTTTCAGAATACTTCTTGTGTATGCTACATTCATTTTATTTAGGATTTACTGTAAGCGCAAGACCAGTTGTTTGTCTTTCTGCGTGCTCCAGCATGTGTAGGGGTGATTTACTGTTCTGGTTGTTTATCCCCACCGTGTAATGTCTCCCAGTTTATTCTGTAATGAGGTGAATTATCTACAGCAGTTTAGCTTTGCTGCACTGCACCCCTCTGAAACTGTCAAATATGTTTAGACTCCAGTGCAAGTGCTTACATTCATAAAATACGAAGTATTATCGGGAAAAAGTCAATTTTCCTTTTTTATTATGCACGCGACATGTAAAAAGTACATTTTGCCTCTAAATTTGCAGTAGGTATGAAACTATATAGTCATTTCTTTGTAGAGAGGATCTCCACCTGCCAATGGAAACTATAATATGAATATATGACATTATACTGTAAGTTTTAGTAGAATTCTTCATCTCACATTCACTGGTAGATTTCTGTAGTCATATGTCACTCTGAGACCAACACATTTTCCTAAAACACCACGCTCACTTCATAGCTGATGTATGCTGGAGACAGTAACGCTTGTCCCTCCACTTTCCTCCCGCCCACCAAGGTGAAGAAGAACAGTTCCCCTCCTCTCTCGCTCTACGGTCAGCTGCTTTGGCGCGAGTTCTTCTACACGGCAGCCACCAACAACCCCTGCTTTGACAAGATGGAGAGCAACCCCATCTGCGTCCAAATCCCCTGGGACCGCAACCCCGAGGCGCTGGCCAAGTGGGCGGAGGGCCGGACCGGCTTCCCCTGGATCGACGCCATCATGACCCAGCTGAGGCAGGAAGGCTGGATCCACCACCTGGCCCGGCACGCCGTCGCCTGTTTCCTGACCAGAGGAGACCTGTGGATCAGCTGGGAGGAGGGCATGAAGGTAGGGCGTGTTGCAAAGCAGGATGGAATAAAAATAGGAAGAGATGATTGAAGTGAAGTTTAATTCTTTATTATACGTTATTACGCCCTTGTCTTGATGATACTTAAGTATTTAGACTTGATGTGATTTCTTTCCTTTTCTCCAGTTTCTGTTAACTGTTTAGCCTCCACTGATTACAGAAAGGACCAAGTTTGATGTGTTTCTTAAAAATGTAAAATTAAAAACACAGTACTTATGGATCTGTATAAAAACTACATCACAATTCTGTTTTGTTTCCATGAAGATACTTCAGTTTTTTGTAGCTTATAGCAAATGAGGACCTCAGTTCATCAGTTTATCTGTTTTTGTTTATAGAATGTCAGAAAACAAAAACGAAAAAAAAAAAAAACTTGTTATAATTTCCCAAAGGTGTATTTAAATAGCTTGTTTTGTCCAACCAACTGCCCCTAACCGCAACATGATCAATATAAAGCAGCCGATCTTTACAAATGAGGAGCTGAACCTTGAATGTGCCGAATTTCTGCCTGAAAAATGACTTAAACAGTCATGAGAAGAAGATCGTGAGACGTCAACCATATCTGTAGGACTAAATAACACAGATCAAGTTTGAGTTGTCACATTTCTTAGCCACTGTGTTTGTGTTTGTCTGTGTCCAGGTGTTTGAGGAGCTGCTGCTGGATGCAGACTGGAGTGTGAATGCAGGCAGCTGGATGTGGCTCTCCTGCAGCTCTTTCTTCCAGCAGTTCTTCCACTGCTACTGCCCCGTTGGTTTTGGCAGACGCACAGACCCCAATGGAGATTACATCCGGTGAGGTTACATCAGTTAAAACGCTGTATTTGTTGATGATGTTATTAATGAGTACAGTCGGGCAGTATGTTAAAGTTATTATTTTCAAACTGGCCATTGTCAGTGATTGTTGGTCCACCGATGGCAGATATATTAGTGGAGTCTGATGGCATCACATCAGTGTTTCCTATACGTCGATGTATTTGTGGTGGCAGCTCACAGATGGCTGGTATCATGAACACCTTTGCTCAAATTTGTCAAAAACTGACATGAAAAAGTTAACTGTGATAAATCAGTCTGCCTGTGGTCTGAGCACAGCTCTGTGGGAGACCGAACTCTTCAGTGAAGGTATTATAAGAATGTGAGGAGCCATGTTACCTTTCCAGATACAAAGCTCTTAACTGTGGCATGGAGCCCTCTGGCTTCAGGCAACGTATCTTTACTGTTGTCTGGCTCCTTGCTTTTAGCCAGCTTTTACTGCCTGGATCAACTCTGCAGTGATGAGGAGAGGCACAGAGGCACCATTGTACCATCACATATCCAGCCCTGTATTTCCTTTTCTGTGGCAGCAAACAATGATCACAACTGTGATAAAGAAATTATGAACTATTTACACACTTTATGGCTGACTACAGTAACCTCATTATAGGATAGGATAGAATAGAATAGAATAGAATAGAATAGAATAGAACTTTATTGATCCCTTTGGTGGAAACCTCAGGGAAATTGCTGATATGTATCAGTGGCTGCAGCTGCATGCTGCCAGATCATATTAGTGCACACTTTGAATTGTGTTTTACAGGATCAATATTCCCAAGTTCAATTTGCAGGGAGAGACCAAAAAGAACATTCATCCAATCACCCAACCCTGCTCATGGATTTTAATAATACTATCTAAAAGTAAAGACAATATATCTTGTGCCTTGTTCATGTAAAAAAAAAAAAAAAGGTTTGACTGTTTCTTTCAGGTTTAATTTTTGGTGGAAAAAAATCAGAAAATACAGAATCTCAATGATAACCAAGAAAATAGATGTTCAGGATTTGGCCTTCGAAATAATAACGGATTCCACAAAGGCACGACTGAAGAATTAAATCATGTCAAGTCAACATTCTGGCTGTTTTTTTATAACTTATATATAACTTACCCTGATAAATCACTGCTACTGGCTAATTCCATCACACTGGACGTGATCTTTTTCCTAGTAGTAATTTACACCACCCACATGCCCACTAAACCTCTCCTTCTCTTTGCTCAGGCGCTACCTGCCCATTCTGAGGGGATTTCCAGCCAAGTATATTTATGATCCCTGGAACGCTCCAGAGGTTGTGCAGAAGGCAGCAAAATGTATCATCGGGATGCATTATCCAAAGCCCATGGTGCACCACGCAGAGTCCAGCCGCCTCAACATCGAGCGGATGAAACAGATCTACCAGCAGCTCTCCTGTTACAGGGGCCTCGGTAAGGACACGCAAACATCTTTAATATTAATAAAAAAGAAGGATCAGCTGAGGACGAAGGATGACCTCAAATTATATATTTTTTTCCTGATAGACTGTTACATAAAAGTGAGTAGCTGTGTGTAGTTTACTATGTATGAGCTATTGATTGTGTGTTCTCTGTATCTGCAGGCCTTTTGGCAACAGTTCCGTCCAACTCTAATGGTAACGGTAACAGCGAGACGCCCTCAGATGTGATGGGATTCCCTGTTGAGGCTTCACACGATGCTGCACCTCCATCAGGTCTGAGGCCTCTTCTTCTCATGCTTCAAACTTCTAGACTCATCATAAATTTCTCTGTAGCATCTGGCATTAGTGTTGAACCAGATCTATTTGTTGCTGTTTGTTTTCAGTCTATCAGATGCCGGTTCACTCCCAGGGAGACTGGCAAAGTGGTGTCATGATGTACCTGCAAGGGGATCCACAATCCAGCATCGGGACGCACCAGCAGGGTGAGGACCGGCGGCTACTACGCCTTGAAGCCATTAATCTCACTCGTCTGAGTACACAGTTGTCACATCAGGGGGTTACATTGGGGTTTGTGAGGTTGGGATGACAGTTTAGGCTGCACACAGTAGAGAAAAGGACAAGTTTCTTTACTAAAAAGTAGTTCTAGTTAAAACTAAGGATGTATTGCAGCGGAATTTTCTGAATGTCAGTTTTTAACAATTACTACAAACTAAATTTAATCCACCCCCCCTGTATTGGTGGCATTTCAAAGTCGAATGTCTCAAACTAAAACTATCTGGAGCCAAGTTCCACCTGGGAGGAGCCAGAGCATTCTCATTATTTTAATAATGCATGCAGAAATTGTGCACAACCCCCCTCTCTCTCAATATTTGGATATTTATGGATCCCACTGATGCAATTGTTTAATAAATTCGAACAAAAGAAAGCGACATTCTGCATTTGTTTGTTCAGCAAAGCAGAGCAAACTGAGCTGTATGTGAGCGTTTCATGCTGTGATACTGAAGGAGTCAGAGCTGAGCAGGAACTGGATATGAGGAGCTCAGCTCTGGTGGTCTCTGGCCCAATTTAACCCCCCCACATCCTCTTCAAACATCCTCAAACTACATTTCTTATTTTCTGTATTTGTCATCTTTATGTATCTTCAGGTGATTTTCCTGAGTTTTTCCTGCTAATCCTTAAATCTCTCTTAAATTTCCAGGTTACACAGCCAGTAACAGCATGATGTGTTACACTCAAGGCACCCAGCAGATTCCTGGTGCTGCAATTCAGAAAGGTGAGCGAAGGAGGGCCAGAACTATTCACTGATACATTTATGACCTTAAAGATCTCATTCCTCTGCTGCGCCAGCTTGCATAAACCATGCTTAATAGTTCAGTGTCATTATTCTACACCGAGTCGTATAAAACTGCATTTCCATGGCAGCTTTCTAAACTGTGCTGTTTTTCCAGGGCCCGACCACCATCCCAGCACTCAGACCAGTGGCAAACGGCACAGCGAGGACTCTGGGAACGGAAAAGGCTCCAAAGTCCAGAGACAGAGCAATCACTAAAGAGGTCAGTTGCAAACACTGATAGAATAGACTTGTCCCTCAGGTAGTGGCAAAATAGTCTAGATTATGTTAGTTTAAGATATCCATTAAGGAGTTCTGTTGAGGGTGAATGTCAATAATAGGAGTGGGACGGGGAACACTACTGGAGGGAGGGTTTATTTTGTATAGAGGAGTTTTTGGCACATTCCAAAGAGGTTTTAGCCAGCACCATAGAAACCTCACCAACACCGAAATGATAAGAATTGATCCTAAAAAATTGCAAATAAAACAGTTTTGTTAATTGGATTTCATTTACTCAAGCATATTATACATGTTTGGTCATTAAATGGTCAGAAATAACAGAAAAAATGCGTAGATTTCTTCTTCGTTCAGGTATTTCAAGGTTCTGACCACTTAGTGACGACACTGCAAAGGCTTGTTTGCTTCAAAGCTATTGGAAGTTACTAGTTAAGTTATAGGAAAGAAGCCTAACTCACATTTTCTTTTATCTTTTTCCCCCCGGACAAGTTCACTTTAAATAACATTTCCTTCACAGTTACATGGAAACACGTCTGGTGTCGATACAAATTTCAGTGTTTACGTTAAACTGCTGGTGGGGCGATCCCTGTAACCATAACTCCACACAATGAGGTGTACAGATTTTAAATTCATGAAAAAGAGAGCTGTGGTTTTTTATCAGTAGCCAGCATCAGCAGATAACCTGAGCAGATGTATTTAGAGAGAAAAAGTTGGTGCAAAATTTGATCTAAAATGGCTGATTGTATTTCCTTTTCTACACTTATGTGATGTTGATGTTTTCTGAGTCCGCTATGCTTTTGCCATCAATGTAAAATGTAAACTGTGTTTCTAAACTAATATATTCACACCCCAATATGTCTTTTCTTCTCTCCCCATGCAGGTGTTTCTGCAGACTCGCCGAAAGTCATATCGTGTACACAACCAAAACAAAACGGACGCTAAGACTTAAAAAATCTTGTTACAGCACTACAACGTTGCATGAACACACCTTCAGGACGAGCATCCCAACCTGTCATTAAATACATTCACACGTTTCTCAACTAATCGGACTGTATATTATCGTGTGGACTACACGGCCCAGCCAGTGCTGACAGCGCTGAGAGGCTGTTACACTGTGCTTATGTTTGGGTTAATATTTGCTGGGGACAAAAAGCCCTTGTGTATATAATGAAATTTGCTAATTGCAGCTCACATACAACTTGTACATATTTGGATATTGTATGTGTGTTTTCTCTCTTTGTGTAGCCATAGACTCATTGATATATTTTTGATATGAGAAATCATTGTGGATGGATCGTTCTTTTGGAAAAATTTTCAATAAAACAAAAGCATTTATAGACCGTCCGTTCTAAAACAAAAAAAAAAAATCAAAATGGGGAAAAAAGCTTGTATCTGCTAATACAGCCGCCTGCACTCTCATGTATTCCCGAGATTCTCTTCATCGAGCCATCCGGTGTATATATCAACTTAAGTGTTCTGATCATTTCCATCCTCTATCTCAGTACTAGTGGACTTGTTTCATTCCTTACCACTATAGATGCAATATCATTATGACATTAACTATCATCTTATTGCCCTTGTCGATGGTTGTTGAAAAAAAGGTGAGAGGAAAACTGAGTCTTCATGTCATGGTGCCCCCTTCTTCCCCCGACTTGTATAACCCCAAATAAATGTACCACTGGAGAGAACTGCTTCACTTGCTTCTTGTTCCTTCTCAATGTGCTTGTTTAATTAAAACTGGGTTAAATATACAAATGGTTTCAGTCTGTTCTTTGGAGCTGAAGTGTCATATTTAACTTATTGAAGATCTAGTCTGATGAAAATCTGATTTTTGCTTTAACATGTACATATGGTGTTGTTTTATATGCTGGAAGAGGCATCATGGGTGGAATAAGCAGTCGACACCATATCCACTTTGAAACAGCGGTGCAGCAACAACACAGATTCAGACTTATGGGATTCCATCCATCCATCCATTATCTATACACCGCTTAATCCTCACTAGGGTCATGGGGGGCTGGAGTCTATCCCAGCTGACTCAGGGTGAAGGCAGGTTCACCTGGACAGGTCACCAGTCTATCACAGGGCTACACTTAGAGACAGACAACCAAGCACACTCACATTCACACCTACGGACAATTTAGAATCACCAATTAACCTCAACATGTTTTTGGACTGTGTGGGAGGAAGCCGGAGAACCCGGAGAGAACCCACGCTGCACGGGGGGAACATGGAGACTCCACGCAGAAAGATTCCGGTGCCCCGACCGGGACGCAAACCGGCAACCTTCTTGCTGCGAGGCAACAGTCCTACGTAGCAAATCTAAGGAAACAATCCCGTCAACTTGCAGAATCATGTTCCTGTTACCAATAGTTAAAGGGGTTTGACAGTGTTTGAGCAAAGTTGTAGGTGAGCTGGTGTGCTCGAGCTGCACACAGGACAAGTATCACCTGGGGAGCTCTAGTACTAACTGCAGAAATGGCCTGTTATCTTCAATTTATGTGAATCCACCTTGCTGCAAATTGCTGTATGTTTCCAAACAGAGGTTCTGTGATAATATTCATCTCATACAAAAATGTCATCTTTGTGATTGGGGGGTTGTTTTTTATGTTTTTGCAAGGTTTCATGTCTTCTCTGCATCTTTCTTCCTCCTCTTTCCCACTTGACAATTACGAACGTTGCTTCGGCAATCGTAGCTCATAGTTCAGACAGCACTTTATTATGCTAGTATCATATCTGAGGCTAATGTCAGTAAATTTGAGACGGCAGGAAGGGTTGTGAAATCATGGAAACAAACTAAATATGTAATTTTGATTCACACAGATGAGCCTTTGGAGGTTTAATCAGCAACCACAGAAGGACTTCAAACTTTGAATTCCATTTAAATTAGTCCCGGTTTTATTGTAAATCACACCTTTATGTAAAATAGACATTGCTGAATAAGTAACCCCACCGCACCACTGGTAGACTGGTACACTTGATCAAATTTAAAAACCTAACCTTGACTTGTTTATTGCTCAACTGCCATTTCCAGCTACCACAATCAGTTCAGTTAGTTACAGTAGTAAACCTCAAAGTATAGAGCTGACAGGCAACGACTTGCCCTCATCTCTATACATTTCTTTCGTGCTCGACAGTATATTCCTTTACATACTTCTTCTATTTCCATGTTTGATCGTACATTCCTTGGCATATTTGTCATATAAAATGCAATACTTCCAAAAACTAATAAAAATTTGAACACACAGTGTCATATTTTGAGAGCGCTCATCAGCTGTGTGTCAGCAGCACATAAGAAGACTGTTGTAAAGGCAACACTGGTTGGGTTTGTAGTGATGCTGCCCTCAGTACAAGTCTTCCTGGAAGTTTGGGATTTTAAACTACCTCGTTTTTTCATGCTTATTGCACAAAGATGAAGTAGTGAAACACTTCTCAAAATCAGCATCAAACAACATTCCCCAAACTGTTCCTTGCACAAAACCCCCATTTTAAATTGCATCATATCAATCCTCTGCGGATCTCAGAGGAGCTACAGGGTTGAAAAGTGGCCGCTGCTGCCGGAGGTGCAGCTTTCCGTAAGTCATCTCAAAGTCCTTCTTGGTTCCTACAATAACGTCCAGGCTGCCGGAGCGCACGTCGTATCCATAGGAGGCCAGCTTCTGGATGCGGTACAGCACGATCTGCGTGGTGAGCTCCAGGACGTTTGGAGATTCCTTCACCTGGTCCATGGTCACTCCAACGTCCATCAGCCCCTGGTACCGCCCCACCAGGGTGGGCAAGGAGTAGTACAGAACGGCCGGGCAGCAGATCACGACTTGCTTGAGTTCGTCTTTGGAGCAGGCCAGAGCTCCCTCGATGTAGGCCAGCGCCTGCTCCATGGCCTCAGGCTTCAGCTCTGCGATGGAGGCTCTGAGGCTGGAGACAAGACTGAGGAGCTCCTCCGTGGTGAAGCCCTGCTCCCTCAGGAAGCCAAGACTGTCCCTCCAGGCCTCAGCCGGCCGCAGCAGAATATACGGGTTCTGGCTGAGCAGCTTCTGCAGCCAGATCCGCAGGTTGCCCTCATCTCCGCCCAGGTCCAGGTAGGTCTCCCTCAGGGTGTGGATGACCTCCTTGTTGCGCTCCACAGGCCGACTGAAGCTCTGCGGGGCGCTGGCCATCAGCTTGCTGATGATCCTCTTGTTAAGGCGAAGGCTCTGGAGGTAAAGGATGTTGGCCCGCTGGTTTTCACGGTGAGTTAATGTAAAAAAGGAGGCCGGGAACTTTTCTATGATGCTCATCAACTCACGCCTGTTGGGACACACGGACACCCACAGGTCTCTCTGGGCCACCGCGTCCTCCGGCTGACACAGGACGGCCTCAGGGTGGGTTTCCAGGATGCGGGCGATTGCTGTTGCGTCTGCACCCATGTCCCTCAGCAGGTCCGCCGTCTCAGTCACATACGCAGAGCTCTCAGACAGAACCCAGCCCTTGAACTTACGCACTTTCTTTATGTCCACTGACAGCTCGTAAAGAGAGTCCACTGTGCGCTGGTTCTCCAGTCTTTTGCTGGGGGAGCTCACTGTGGAGGCAGACGCAGAGGAAGGCAGCAGCAGCCTCACCTTCTGGCAGTAGGTGTAGAGGGAGGCGGAGGTGACACGAAGCATCGTTGACAACTGTGGTGGATCTGTGTGAAGAACAAAGAAAATCTCTGAGAGCTGGCATGGTGGTAGTTTTGCCTTAAGTGTATCGTAGCCTGGTGTTAATGAATACTGTTAAACGCTCAGATAAAAGATTTGGAAGAAGTGTGTTTTCCTTCAGTTTTAGTGCAGAATTGTTATGTCATGAAGTTCTACGACTAGAGTGTTAAACAACAGTGATGGCAGCAGAGTCTCTTTACATCTGTGCCCATACATACACTGTGCTTTAGGACCGCCACATTCCCAATAAAGTTCTCAGTTTATGTGAAACAGCGACTGAAACATTCAAACTACACGTTACTCACCTCCAAGCTGCTGCTCTGCAATACTAAAATTCTGATTTTACCACCGCAATGTCATGTAACAAACTCACCAAACACAGAAATTAAAGCCTGCCCGATGAATTCTGCAATAATTTGATAGAATGCAATGATACACAACAGTAACAACAGCTCTGCTCTGTGCTGGTCAAATATGCACCGTGTCCACGTTGCACTTTGTTCAATATACTGACTTTTCACTTTGTTAAAGCTTTTCATAGATTTTCTGGGGGGAGGAAGGGGCACTATCCTCTTTTCTTCATTTATTTTTTAAAATCATGCTTTAGTTCCCAGCTTCACTCCACAGCTTTGCACTTGTTTTCCTATTTTGTACTGTGCTGCATTATACAGTGACACACCGTTTGTCCAAATAAAATTAGCTTTTTTTTTGTCATTTAGATTAATCATCTAATCAGTAAAATAGATTAATTTATGGAAAACTGTCTTTAGTTGAAGCCCTTAAGTGTGTGAAATGTACTTTATTAGGCAGTGACTCAGAAAGTTTCTGACATGTAGCTGCTACTTATTGTGACCTCCCAACACTCTGGCTCACTAACTTATTAGATCAAACCAATGCAGCGTGAACACTGAGTAATGGGAAAACATCTTCTCAGTAAATTCATTAATTATTTGGTCCATTAAATATTAAAAAAATACAGAAAGATACTAATTACAGCTTCCTTAAGCCTACACTGACATGAGCATATTACTTTTTTAATACAGCCAACACCCCAAATCTACAAATGAACACACTTTCAATGAAAACCTGCAAATTCTTCCAGTTTATAAACTGGGTCTCATCAGTTTTTGGTATTTTCAGAAAAGTCTAAAGTATGTATTATTTCACAAGAAAAGAAAAAAGCAACAATTTGATAAAGGGTTAAAAAAACAACATGCATGTGACATAACTGTTTTACTTCTTTCCAGTTTTGTTAATGATTTTACAAGCCCTGAGATTCATTTACTGGTCAGTGGAACCAATCTCAGCAGGACAGAACCTTATGACAGGAATTATTTGTTCAAACAGTCTAAACTTTGTCTCACTAAGGAGCCACTGAACTACCTTAAAACACCTACACCCGCCAAACAACATGTGGATTTCATGTCAAGACAACATCTACATAAACATCTCTGTGCATGCATGTTGCATGTATGTGACTAAAGCGCAGAGTTTGCTGTAAGATGCATGAACAGTGATCAGGAACACAGTGTCCTGACGGCTGCTCCTGTACATGAGATGTTACATGTTCTCTGTGTGTGTTGTACAACAGACCCACCGCTACAATACAACACTGATCAAAGGCTGTGGTGAAGCTACAGCTAGCAGCTAGCAAACACACTGACAACGACGGTACAAATAAAATAAACAACAAAGCGTGATATTTTACCGGTTTCTGACCTTTCGGCCGGAGGAGTCCGCTTGTCGCACACCCACTTGCTCTGCTTTCATAACACGAGTGGAGCTGCGGGGCGGAGCCGGCGAGGGCGACACATGAGCGGCATGTGACCGCCGGCAGCCACCGGGGAGGACCGGAGGCTTCCAGTCCCGCCTACCGGACCACGTACCGCCGCGGCTACTTTCAAACCCTCCCTGACAGAAGATGTAAAGCCTGCCAAAGGTAGAATGAAGACCACAAATGTAAACGTGGAAACGTTACAAACATATTTCAGTCCTGCGTGTTTAAGCTAAACGCTAAGCTAACACAAGCTAGCATATAAACAAGATGGTAATGAGAAAAGTGGCTGCAATGCTAATGTATTGTAAACACACTACAACCACACAGCCTCAAAGGCAAATGAAACTTTAATATATATATATATATATTATTATCGTTATTAGTAGTAGTTGTGGTCGCAGTTGTTAATATAGTTTTTGTGGTCCAAAGCTAACCTCAGCCCCAGTTTATGACCTGCATGTGTTAGCATTCAGTCACTGAGCTAGCTGCTAGTTTTTTTTCTAAAAGTAAACTACACAAAATATAAAAGTATCATGTATTAGTTTCATTATGAATAATTATTAAAATATATCCATTCTTTTAAACATAGGGGAATAAGTATTTGTTGTTCCAACATAATGGAGGTCATGAAATAACAAAGCAAACACGTTTAATTGAACAGCAGCCTGTCACAGAGGGAGGGTGTTTAATTAAACATGCAACAGATGAAACACGAAATTCAGCAGGACAAAATGACATTAATACAGTTAAATTAATCAGAAACAATACAGATAATTTGAATAAAGTGCATGCAAATTTTATAAAATAATTAAATGTGATTGTCTAAGACAACTGATGAAAACAGACGATACAAAATATAAATCACATACCTTATAAAATAAAACTGAGTCATGAAAAGCAGTGTGGAATTAAAAAAGAAGAAAAAAAACTATTTCACTTTAGGAAATGGCTACGTTTGAGTTAAATCTAACTCCTGAGTGCAGCTGCTTCCAGCAGTGGGCAGCACTGACTGGACACCTGCCAGGACTCAGGAAGCATATGTTGGATATATTTTGGGCCCAGAACATTCAGACACTTATATTCAGTTCTATATTTAACTGGAAGCCACTGCAGGGATCTAAGAATCAGAGTCATGTATTCTCTCCTTTTGGTGTTTGTCAGTAATTTAGCAGCAGCATTTTGAACAAGTTGCACATGGTGTTATTATGGAGGCGGTTACACTGCTCCACTCTGCAGGTAATGAAAGCAAGAAGGAGTTTTCTAAATACTGCTCTCATACTAAATTCCTTAGTTTATTTTAAAGAAGCCAGAATCAGGATTTAGTCAAAGCTTTGATGTAGCTGAAATTCAGAGCCTCGTCAATGACTTCCCTGAGATTCTTGACCTGGGTGTTATTTTTCAGTGACCTGGGCTCAAGATAGTCGCTGAGCACCAGCCATCCTTCTCTATGGCCAAGTAGAACTATTTCATTCTTCTCTTTATTTAGTTGAAGGAAGTTTGGTTGCATCCAACTGTTTACTTCCTCAGTACAAAGACAAGTCAGGTCATAGTCGTATTGGCTACTAACGTGACCAGGGTGTGCATTCAGACCAGGAAGCCCACATGCCAGAAAAACAGAACGGGGTGCTCGTCTGAAAGGAACCTGAAAGGGGCTTTAGTGCCAAGTTGTCTCGCACAATCTGCCATTTCTAATTAGAGACAGTTCTGCCTAAAATCTGCAACACTGAAAAGTATTTATTTGATTGTATTGTCAGTATGTAATTAAGGTAAAAGGCCTTAATCAAGTTATTTCTTAGCTTATGTGTAACTCTTCTACCATTCACAGAGTTATTACTGTGCAAAACCAATGCATATAGGTGCAGATGTTACACACACAGTTGAGCATCATCAAACAAACGACAGATTGAATTTTATCACATTTATTACAGAGACATTATGTCAGCTATGTTATCACAGAGAACACATCCAATCATAACAGGCATATCTGAAGGCAGCATGAGGGTGCAGGGAGCATCTGAAGGCAGCACCTGACCTCTCCTACCTCCTGACCTTTATCATGGAACAGTTAAAAGCCTTCTGAGGTCCTCAGATCTGAGGATCTGAAAAGGCTACGGGCAGAGTCGAGGCAGGGACATTCTGAAATGTACCCAGGTGCTAACCCATGTAGAGCTTCATAAACGAATAAAAGAACCTTAAAATCAATTCTGTATTTAACAGGCAGCCAGTGCAGGGAAGCAGGTGTGGTGCTGTCCCAGTCATGCAGCAACATTTGGCACCAATTTGTGCATCTTCAAAGATCACAAATTTAGAGTTTAGCTTTTTAAAACAGGCTCAGTTATTTGCTGGTGCACAGTTTAGCTTTGGGTCAAACGGGAGTAGATTATTTTCAGTCACACGTTAATAAACATTTGGCACTTTTATGAGTATTTCTTAAGAGAGAATGTGGATGTTGAGTGACAGTAAAGGAACATTTCACCTAAGTTTAGGATAAACAGATAATACTTGTCACTTGCCTGAAATAATACGAAAAACACTGACTTTATATATATATAAAAAATAGAATACTACCAGATGATTACTTTAAAAAGTAAAATACTAAATTCCCAATCAAAGAGGTGTGGTATGAGCAACAATAGTGAACATAGCAGGTGTCAGACGGCTGATAAACGAGGATCAGCACCCAGACAAGCAGTCATTATGTAAGAAACATTTATTTTTTTTATTATGTAGTGGTAAAAGCTTTTTTATGGGGTCGTGGTATAGCATAATGAGTTAATGCACAAAACTAAATGTGTAGAACACATTTAGAAACCTCTCGTAAAAAAAAAAAAAACAGGATAATTTATGGACGATATAGATAAACACATAAATAACAGATGAAATTGAACCAAGCAGTCCGAGTTTGAAATAACTTTTTCCTTTACAAGGACACTGCAGCATCCTCTGAATAGAAATGTGACAAATCTGGCTGAAGGCCGGCACCGGGGTGTTTTATCGATCCCTTTACTGCGACCGAGCAAATGACTCAAGGTACTAAAAGTCATGACAGCTTCCTTAGAAAGCCCCGTGGACTGTCTGCAGTCTGACTGATGAAGAAATACACGGTCTTAAAAAGTCTGGACAGGAATCCTTTTCGGGGTTTTTTGTTATTTCCGTCTCCACAAGGAAAAACGGGCCAAGCACTATTTATACCACGATAGCAAGCAATTTATACTGAAAGCTCAAAAGCCACATTTATTCTAAGTTATCTGGGCTTGTGTGATTGAATTTGTCATGAATTTGACGTACAGAAGAACAGAATTAGCTGTGAGCTGTGGCATCGAGCTTTCAGACTCAATTTATTTGTGTTTATATTGAACTCCCTTGTTGTAAAGTGCATTTTATCAAAACCCTCCCATTTTTTCTGTGAACTCATGAACACACAAAGCCTCAGACGTGGCGGTATAACTACATCAAAGGACCTTTTAAAAGCAATATGAAGCATTTCGTCAACCAATGAATATAGAGAATAATCAGCAGAATAATAAACAAACTATTTTTTTTTAAAAGAGGAAAATTGTTCGTTGCAGCCCTAATAAATGTTATCAGCATCTACCCTGTTCTGTTCTGATAATAATCATTGTTTCTACAGATATTTGGTCAGTTTTAAAACTGACCTAAAAATCATCTCTGCATTAACGTAGCCACGAAATACATGAATACGTATGTTTTCTAAGTTTAAACACTCAACAGCTCATCTGCAATAAGTAAAACTAACTTTTCAACAAATTAATACAAACAGGTGTAATTTCTTATCTGTCATATTGGGTCAAATCTTGAAATTGGGTGGCTTGAAAGAAAGAAAAAAAGGATTCTGAAATTGAATTAGACTCGCTTTGGTTTTGATCTGGACCAAACCTTCAGTATGTTTAGTTCAGCTCATTTTAGCAGAATTGAGATACCTGTACAGTAAAAAATCTGGATTACTTTAGCAACAGGATTAAGGGTAGATTTCAGTGACAAAATCTAATAAAGCTTTATAATTGCTTAAATAATACAATATTTCAAGATACAACATCATGTAGTACATATACATTTATATACATACATATTGTACTTGATTTGTTTAATGATCACATATTTACAGTACAAATTCACATTGTAATTGTGAGTAATGTTTGTATTTGTTCAATATTTGTCAGATGAGGCTTTTCTACCTGCTGTTCTTTTCTTTATATAGCTAGTAGCTCACACTGTAATATGTGGTCCTAATAAGACCACTGGTAATGCGGATATGGTAATCTTGAAAAGCTTGTACCTGATTCAGGGTGATGTAATTCAAAAGGTTACTTTGAAGAAAACACAACAGTAAAACAGATCACCTGAAGCTGGATAGCAAAACACTGGATTTCCAATTTCAGTGTCAAAGATTGATTGTTTGCCAAAAACGGATTGCCTGCTTCATGTTAAAGCCTTGTTGCCCAGTTTATTCATGTGTACAGCTGCGTTTATCTGGATCGTGCGCAAATATTAAACATTTTATGTCTGTGGTAAAACTAACCGAATAATTGTGACCAAAAAACCTTTGAAGCTCAAGCCTGACTTTTTGGATCATCATAGGCAATGTGACAATTTAGATCATAATTGCTATGATTTACAGATGGAATTTAAATATAAATGAAAGAGCTAATTTTGTTCGTGGTTATCCTGTGAACTTGAACCTTAAATATACCCTCACAAATGACATTAAGTCATTTTAATGCATTAATAACATTTTAGTCACAAAATAGGGGTTGCAATCTCTTTTGGCATGTGGACAGCTGTACTATGAGTTAAACTGATCATTTAAAGCTATTTCAACCAGTAAAAACAGCTGGGTTTGTTGTAATCTAGGGCACAGAGCGGATACAATAATGCTGACATCTGTTTTTGGCGCAACACCTGATCATTTTCATCCAGAATAAACTACTTACGCACCTGAGCCCAGAAGAGCAGTTCCTCAAACGGCCTCTAGGTGGCGGTGACAGCCGGCGCAGCTCTGTGTGAGCCTGGCATCAACCGGACGAAGAAGAAAGGTCTGTTCTTGTTGCAGGCAGGGCCAAAGTTTGTCAAATTATCACACGGTGTAATTTTCGGGACTAAAGTTAACGGAGTGTATGTGTTAGCAGGCCGTATGAATAGACACTAACCCGTATAAACCGCGACGACTGAATGACACCCGCACAACGTGTGATTTTATCTACGCCTGCGCACTCCGTACAGAATATCGAGCCGCCCTTCCTCCGCGCCAACTTGCACCGCAGGGTTGGACAGACGTCGACTCACAACAGCCCTGAGTTGATTTCCTGACCTAATTGGTCAGTTTTCCTGGACAAAATGGATAGCCCACATCGTATCGAAAACGGTAAGTCGATGAAAATTCAAAAATGTATCACTCATCTTGAGTTATTGGGTTTTCTGTTGGAGTGTGTGCGCCCGATTTTGAACATGGCGTACCCCGCTCTGAGATGGCGGTGGCTTTGTGCTACGGTACAGCGCTAGGGAGCCGCTGTGTGCGCTCGTTAACAGCTAACATAGTTGGCTAACAAACCATTCTATTCTTTGTACACGTAGAAATTATTTAACATAACCCGTAAAGGCAGTTATCTGACCACATGGATTAGTGTTGGTGAGTAACCGAAGGGAGCCTTGAGGGTTGACAGATGCTGCCTTCGCGGGCTTCAACTGTAACGGCAGCTAGCGGTAGTGGCTAAAAACAAAGCTAGAGCACAACTAATGCTCATGTCCGGAAGCCCAGCAAGCGTTAGGACAGACATGCAGCGACGCCTTTTTTTACTCAATTTGCCGGTAAGAAAAGTAATGTCATGTATACGAAGTGTGTCGCTTTTACCATTTCAGTAACTTGGTTAGCGCAGAAAGTCACGACTCCCGCAGCCATGTTTACTATTTCACTGAGGTGCTCCTATGTGGCGGCTCATAAATACGACACACTTGTCAGCCCCTGAATGCATCAGGGTTTCCTTGGAGGTGGTGGGAGAGTAACTGGTGCGTCCAACAGGGGTCCCAGTCTAACCAGGGGCGCCCTGCTGTGCCAAAATGTGATCTTTTGCCAAAACTGAGCAAATATCCTTATGTCTCTGCATTATTTTAACTGCTGTGTGACCTAGATCATGAACAGTCCAGTTGTTTTTACTGGTTGAAATAGCTTTAAATAACCAGTTCAACTCATATAATGCAGTTTTCCACTTACCAAAAGAGACTGCAGCACTTACATTGTGACTGAAATGTTAATAATGCAGCAAACTTACTTGATTTCATTTCTGAATTATATTTTAAGGATTATAGGATGATTGCAAAAAAGTCATTTCTTAGTTTTATACATACAACCCATGTGTAGACCGTGGTATTAACAGTTGAACCAATACCGTAGTGTTGTCTACAATCATCCCACATGCCAGGCCGATATGAACTGCACGTTATGTTACAAACTTGAGACATTTTTTTGGTCACAGTTATACAGTTGCAAAAAAAGTTTCACAAAGATACACTTTTTCTGTTGCCATGGACATAAAGTTATGTGTATTTGTACATTATGACGTGTAAAAACTGAGCAACACGGCTTTAACATTTAGTTTTTGGCAGATGATCACTTTTTTGCACAGCACCCCTAAAGCCCCAGTGTGCCTTTAGTGTTGGTCAGTTAGTTTCTGATAGTGTTGTTGATTTTGGGGTGAGGGGGGACTTTCTGGGCACAATTATGATTGGAAGTAAATATGAATGAAAATTTCAAAAACACTGGCTAGTCTCTGGGCCACATACAGCTTTTTAAATATTTATTAAAACACAAGTTGTTTTCTTTCTACAAAGTCTACATAACGAGTCTTTAACATTAAAAATTTAATTAGAATTTTTCTTCTGGTGATTGAATAATTACTGCAACTTCCACAAGACATGAAAACGTCTTCCACATGTGCAATAAAGTTATATATTTTAAATAAATCTATTTTAGAATGTTATGTATTGAATCCAAACCAAATTATCACTCAATGATGCCTAAAGGAAAAGAACTGCGAGATGAGGAGAAGACGCCCACCTTGGTCCTTAATGAGGAATGCAGTGAGAAAGCCGTCGCTAACTGGCTTGGAATCAGTAAAACAGCCGAACATTACAACAGTAAGAAAATACAACATGGCTCTACCAGGAACTGCAAAGAAAGAGGCATAAGACAGTGGTCACAGTGGTGTAAAACTTATTTCCAAAACTGTCATTTCAGTTGCTGTTTTAATAAACTTGTCCATGCATTAATTCAGTTAGTATACAAGTACGAGGCATATAATAATCACAGGGGACATGTAGTCTTCCAGCGTGAGCGTACTAGTTGGTTTTCAGGACTATGTGCAACATATAATAATCTGTTGCCCTCACATAATTACATGAGTCATTAATTTATCTACCAGTCAGCAAGATGATGGAACATTATGAAGCAAGAATGTTTTATTTCTAATTGTGTGTACTTCTTTTAAAGTATTACCTGTATGATGTTATATCATTACTGTATAAAATGTATTTCTAACTTGATTTTGCTTTAGTATTAACATTGTAATAAATACTTTCCAGATCCACCTCTCCTGTTGCAGGCCCTACGCCTCTTCATACCTCCCCTGCGCCTGGTGTCTGCAGCCATGTGGCACGTCGTGCAGAGGGGAAATGTGCAGGAGTATGGGATGGTGGAGGAGTTCATCAGCACAGTAACAGAAATTGTGCCTGAGCTGCTGAATGCAGATCAGAAGGCTCAGCTCCTGCTGGGACTCAGAGCTCGGGTAAGGCTGTGGTTACACAAAGACATTTAATGATAACTGTCACATTGAATTGTTTGGTAATGAGTAAAATCTACCACATCACTCTAAAACTCACAGTATCTAAACAAAAACATTCTGTGTTGTGCTGGGATGTCTGTTATTTATATTGACACGGAGGTGAAACCCTTTGTGGCAGGTGGTTCTGGAGTTGTGTCATGCTGAGCAGATAACAGACAGAGAAACCATTGAGATGCACTTGGACCGCATCAAGGCCCTCATATCCACTTGGGCAGCGCAGGTTAGTTTCTTAAAATGTGACATGTAGCACTTCAGTGTGATCATGTTTCTCATCAAGTCATTTTTTTTCTACGTAAAGTACAGTAATGCATGTTTTTGTTTCAGCCATGTTTTGCAGAGGTTGAGTTTCCCGAATCAAACTTTGTGGACCAAGTTGAATTGTTGTTGAAGGACCCTGAAGAGAAGGAGAAGTTCTTCCAGGTTTGTGATTTTCGGTGTTACATACTCTTATACTGTTGGATCTGTCTATCCGTACAGAATACATTATATGCAGTGGTTGTGTAGTACTGGACTGTTAAATTGTAAACTGTGATTTCTATTTTTTCTTTCAGGATGTTTTCCCGACAGATTTTGGGCCTGAATATGACAGCGCTCTGCAGGTGCTAATGCTGGATTTCTTATCCAGACTGGAAAAGCTTCTTCCAGTACCAGACATTCAACAGGTATTACAGCATGTGTGGTAAACCAACCTATTCAGTGTTGGTTAGCGTCTCTGTTTGCTCCAGCTGAAGTTGTAACTAAAACAGATAGTTGATTTCTGAATCACACTTGACCCAGTTTGCATTGTTAAAAAATCTGTCAAATCTGAACACACAGTCACACTGAAGGTAAACAAAGAAGTCAGACTCTTCAGAGGATATTGTGTCCAAGACGCATCTATAAACCTGCTTGGAAATCATAGAAAAAAATATGCTATTTATAGCTCCAGAACTTACCTTAGAAACAGTCACAACTGTAGTTTTCTTCAGTATCACTGTAGTCTAGCAGGGCTCTAGTCAACCCAAGAACATCATGGTTATCTGATATCATACCTACTCTACAGCCAACCGATTGCTCACAGAAAAAAAAAAATCTGCACGTTTTCTTTAGATCAACAAAGTTGGCCAGAGGGCGCTCTACCTGCTAGCCCTATTAGCCTGTATATGATGGACAAATGTCGAATTTGCAGCATTTTAAACCAATTTAACCTGATTATTTTATCAAAATAACAGAGTCAAAGTGTGTTCCGGCCCATATTCATATTATTTGCAAAATCAGAACTACATCAGCTTTATCAACACATAACAGTACAAGAACTATTAAGACATATAACACAGAAGTCAGCCTCCTGTTAATAGATGATCTGGCATGTTAACTGGTAAACTATGATTAAAAAAAGAATACTGTTTGAAGAGTTAGACTCAACTTTTGGCCACGTCTTTCAACTTGTGAAAATGCAGGGATGTTGACAGGTGATCTGTTCCTCCTGCTCCTGGATTTTGGAAAGATCATTTTGGAAGAGTGCTGATGTTTGCTCTTGTCCTTTTGAAAGTAACACTAAGGACTGTCAGACCAAAGAGAATTCGATCAGATGAAAGCAAAGCAACCGACCGATTGAGCAGTCGACCTCGATACTTTATAAATCCAATAATAGTTATCTGTTCATAACAGCTACGTTACAGATAAAAGATGCTAAATGCTAATTCGTCCTTTTAAAGTGTCAGTTTGTCAACATGTGAACAAATGCAAGTGGAAAAAAATAAGACTTAGGTTGTAGCTCAGAGTATAAAATCAGAGGATTATACTTGTTTGTAGAGCTCTCAGATCCTTTAATATGACATCGATTTATTTTGCCCAAACACAACATCCCATAAACAATGTATGTAAGTAGGAAACTGTAACTCATAACCTCCTCAGTCTGTACACACACACACACACACACACACACACACACACACACGCACACACGCACACACACACACACACAGACCACAAACAAAGACCACAAACAATGAGCTTTAAATTGTGGTCCTCCATATATTCAGTTCAACTCAAATGATAAAAAAGTAACAATAAAATGCCTTTCATTTAGTGATTTTGTTAAAAGTGTGTCAATGAAGACAGAAAATGTGGACATGTTAAATGTGTGTCTTCAGCTCAGTTTTTGTTTTCTTCTTTTAAATGTGTATTCTTGTATTTATGTTCTCTAGACTGCATCCATGCTCAGTGCCGTCCCATCCGCCCTGGAGGAGTGTGCACACTCAGTTCCTGATCCGAAGCACCTGAAAACTGTGCTCCTGTACCACACAACACTCGGACATTTTGATTTATCTGGTGAGTCTCACTGGGCTGCTTTACCAGTGGTTCTCAACAGGGGGGCCACGGCCCACTAGGGGGCCACAGAGAGCTGTCGACTGTGTCTTGAGATGGCTTTGAATGGTATTAAGAAAAATACAAAAAGATATTCTAATGATAAAGAATGAGAGAAACTATCGAACCAAACACACAATCAATCTGTAGTGCTTCATTTGTATAAACTCACTGCCTAGCTCAATAACTACAAATAAACAAACTGATCAAAATGCAGTGTGGGGCAGTAGTATGGCCATCTGCACCATTGATGTCGCCGTTGTCCTGTATTTTTTCCAGACGTGTATATGAATAAAAGTAGTGAACTGCTTAGAATGACTGACTCTGGTGCATCAAGATCACACACATTTTCCCTGCAGTGCTCGCATGTGTGGGTGCGCCTGCATTAATGTAGCTGCTTTATAGCTAGAGCTGGGTGAGCTGACAAAAATTATTATAGTGTTAATGTATATAGTTTGCTGCCAGTTTGCAGTTTCTTCTTAATAACTTAAGCCTGAAGAAACCAGCAGATGCCTGAGCTAAACTTTAGTGGCGGCCTGCTTTTATAAAGCAACAAGACCTTATCCATGGGGAGGGGGGCCTTGGCAGCAGAAAGGTTGAGAACCCCTGGTCTATCTGGTCGCTACTGTTTGTCAGCAGCTTAACATTTCAAAAGATGAATGAAAAAATAGGAGGTGATCCAGCAATTATTGATTATCCTTAGTTATGTAGGAGATGTGATAAGGTGATGTGGGTTAAGGTTCTTTCCATGTGAATAAGTTTATCTGGAGAGAAAGGAAAACATGCACAATTGTGGTCAGTTCTTCCATAAATATCGAGTCTGGCCTTCGACTTAGTGCCAGTTTTTCATTTTGGCCCACTGTGTATTTGAGTTTGACACATATGATTTAGGCCATTAAGAAAATTATAGCTCCACAAACATTGTTCACCAAGCCTCTAAGAAGTTATTTGTATTAGAAAAGGAGTTCACATAAGCATATATTTGCCCTGAAAGGTTGTGGTGATGATCCGGATAGCAGATCAAACCTTTGTGCAGGGCTTTGGACTGGAGGACTTGTTGCTATAACAACAGCTAATTTTTCCACCAGTTTGGTGATAACTGTGAACTATGAAGCTGATGTAATTCTTCTTTTTCCCACAGATGAAACTCAGACCATTCCATCTTCGTTTGGAAATTGCATCCTCTCTTCACTTTCCCTCCCTCAGCTGGAGAAGGTTGTGATCGATCCTGACCAAATACAGCTACAGCCTTCGTCAGAGCAGATGCAAGGCTGTATGACCGTCCAGGTGGAGGGTGAAACTGTGACACTGCTGGACTATATACACATCGAACAGCCACCCAGTTTGGTGGAGCCTGATGATCATGAAGAGAATGATGTAAACGAGGAAGAAACAGCTGGAGATGCAACACACGAGGACACAGGCGACACCTTAAAGCCAGCAGCTTTTCAGCCACTTAAACAAAGCAAAAGGCTCCAGCTGAAGAGAAAAGCTTTAAAAGAAAAGAAAGACTTAATGACAGCTAAGAGGCAAAGAAAAAAATACCCCAACAATAAGACATGTCCTGTCTGCAATAAGACTTTCCTTCGAGCTGCAGCCATGAGACGGCATCAGGAAATTCATGATGCAAATCGGGACCTCAAGTACAAGTGCGCCAACTGCGACAAACGATTCAGGGACCATTATGACATGAACCGACACACCATGCGTGTTCACGAAAAGGGAGACATGAGCATAAGCCCTAAAGAAGAGGACTTAGGGGATCCTAGCACTTCAGAGATTTTAGAAAACAAAAATTGTTCTCTGTGTGGGAAATATTTTGCCCGCCGGGTAGACATGGAACGACACATGAAGTCCCACTCAGAGGACCGCCCATATAAGTGCTCTTTCTGTGAGAAGAAGTTTAAGAATCCTTATGTGTTAAAGAGACACCAGAAGGAGATTTGTAAGAGCAGAGAGCAGAAAAAGCCTAAGAAGAAAGAGACAATGCGCTCAAATCCACAGCCACCCTTAGAGGTGTCGATGGAGGGCAAAGTCTGTCCCATCTGCAGCCGGATTCTTCCGTGCACCGCTGACATCGCAAAGCATTTACGGTCTCACTCAGAGGAGCGTCCTTTTATTTGCATCACTTGTGAGAAGGGCTTCAAGTACAAAGACACGTTAAAGAAACATCAGATTATTCACGGTCATGAAGGCATCAGGGAGGAACAGAGCAAAACACTGGAACAGATTCTGGCTGAAGCTGACACTCAGACCGGTGGTGATACTGGTGGCCTTGACAAACAAGAAAACAATCCAGATGCGCCTGCAGACACGTTGGAGGAGTCCCTGTCTGTGCCTGTGCAAAAAGTCAGCAAAAAGGCCCTTAAGGTGTGCCCGGTCTGTTCTAGGGCATTTGACAGTGTCAAAACACTGAACCGGCACATACAGTGTCACACAGACGATCGGCCGTATCATTGCGTCCACTGCAAGAAGCGGTTTAAACACATGCACGGCCTGAAGAGACATCAGATCTATGCCATTTGTCATAAGAAAACTGCAAGATTTACATGGAAAAAAGAGCCAAAAGCGGGGCCCAGTCAGAGTGAAGTGATTAGTTCAGACTCCCAACAGGGTCCACTGCTCAAGATACCTGTGTGGTGTTCAAACTGTGGTAAGCACTTTGAGTACCTGTCAGCTTTAAAGGAGCACCAGGAGAACATTTGCAAAATCGAAGTGACGGAAATCATGAAATGTGACGATTGCAGGAAAGAATTCAAGAGCATGACGATGCTCAAAGTGCACCAGAGGATTCACGATCCGCTCTACTGCAAAGAGTGTGGAAAGATACTGGCAAACGAGCCTGCTTTCGAGAGGCACAAATTGATGCACAGACCGATGCAGTGCACAATGTGCGAGAAGAATTTCACCTTACTGAGGCGCTTGAGGGAACACTACGAGAAGCAGCACAGCTTCAGCGGGCCGTATCCTTGTGCACAATGTGACAAGACCTTCATCCAGCTGTCCTACCTTGCCATCCATCAGAGAATCCACAAGGGGGAGTTCCCTTACATTTGTAACATGTGCCCAGAGAAGTTCAGGTCCTCCAACTGTCTGACGGTGCATCAGCGGAAGCACACCGGGGAGAAGCCCTTCCTGTGCTGGCAGTGTGGAAAATGCTACCGCTCTGCGTCCGAGCTCACAGTCCACATGGGAACCCACTCGGAGGAGAGACCCTGGGCCTGCACACAGTGCGACATGGCTTATCGCACCAAGCTGCAGCTGACAAACCACGTGGAGCAAATCCACATCGGCGTCAGGTATCCCTGCAACAACTGCGGCAAACAGTTCATGAAGGAGACGTCGCTGAAGAGGCACGAGCTCATCCACACAGGCGAGAGGCCACATCAGTGCACAGTGTGTGGAAAGACCTTCCTGACTGCCAACGAGCTCCGGCTCCACAACAGGTACCACACCGGAGAGCGCCCGTACAAGTGTGAGGTGTGCGGCAAAGCCTTCATTCAGTCGGGCTACTTGAAGTCACACATGCGCATCCACACAGGAGAGAAGCCATTTAAATGTGACATATGCGACAAAGGCTTCAGGTTGTCGTATCACATGAAGAAACACAGGCGGACTCACGCTGGGAAGCCAAAGAGCTACATATGTGAGGAGTGCGGGGTAGCGTTCCTCCAGAAAAAGTCCCTCTGGGAACACTCGCTCACTCACGATGTGAAAATTGAATCGTCTTTCACTGATGAAGTGAGGATAGAATTTCAGTAGAAACCTCTGGTTCGTTTTCATGCACTTGTTCTACTTTAAACAATGTCCAGGTGTCCAAAACACTTGTTTTTTTAGAAGTTTGATTTAGTTTGTAAGTCGGTGCTCTTCATTGTTCCTTGTTGCATCGTTGTGTTGATTCACGTTATGAATGATCAATAAGGCATGTATGTATTGGAATCCAAGGAATAATTTCTGCTTAGATTGCTTTATGAAATAAATTAACATTGAATATTATTATTGCTTCCTGTGTTCTTAAGTAAAAAGTTCTTTGGTCTTAAAATTCTCTGCTTTACAGCATTTTACGTTTGATTATTTTTGCTTTAGGCTGTTAGTTGATCAGTGTATTTAAATTGTAATAAACATTCATAAATTTTCGATCAGACAAGACAATTCCACCTAAGACTACAACTCCATTACATCCATTCCATTCTGTTTTTGTCTGGTTGTGTTGATATAAACCCTGAAGAGTTTTTCATTTTCTCTTATATAGAACAAAACAATGGAATGAAATCTTTACACCTGAGAGGCCAAAACAAGCAGTTTTGGGGATTTTTCTTTTGTCTGCAACCAATCAGTAGTTCCTGATGTATTTTCCATCGATCCGCTGATCAATTTAGTTACAGCAGGAGTAAAAAGCATGTTGTAATTTGTGACTGACAAGTAAAATCAACAGGAACTAAGTGAAGGACGAGCTTTAAATTCAGCTTAGGAACACCATCCAATATATTCTTTGAAGTGGGTTCAGGAAGGCGCTCAACAGGAAGTGTTCACAAACTGTTTTTCCACCATTTACTGTTTGCTTAAAGGTTTTTGTAGTGTGAAATCAGTTACGTTGCTTTTGTATTGTGGAGGGCTGCAAGGTGGCGCAGTTGGTTAACACTGTAGCCTCGCAGCAAGAAGGTCGCAGGTTTGCGTCCTGGTCAGGGCACCGGGATCTTTCTGCATGGAGTCTCCATGTTCTCCCCGTGCAGCGTGGGTTCTCTTCAGGTTCTCCGGGTTCTCCGGCTTCCTCCCACACAGTCCAAAAACATGTTGAGGTTAATTGGTGATTCTAAATTGTCTGTAGGTGTGAATGTGAGTGTGCTTGGTTGTCTGTCTCTAAGTGTAGCCCTGTGATAGACTGGTGACCTGTCCAGGGTGTCTCCTGCCTTCACCCTAAGTCAGCTGGGATAGACTCCAGCCCCCCCGCGACCCTAATGAGGATTAAGCGGTGTATAGATAATGGATGGATGGATGGATGGATGTATTGTGGAGTCAGTTGTCTTTTTCAACCAGTAGATGGCAGTAGAGTCGTGCTAATGTGGGTCACTTCACAGGAGACTGTTAGCTGTCAGTGATTCCCCCCCTGCTGCCACAGCTTGTGTTGGAGGATTTTGACTCTGCCAGAGTTCTAATAAATAAATAATGCAATGTTTACCCCTTATTAACACTCATATCTCAATTCTCAGTAAATATTGAAAGTAGTGCACTCAGAAAGTCATTTGTTTACATGGTGATTTGCAGGGAAGCTTGCTTGTTTATGCAACTTTTTGCTTTATGCAACATAAATTTCACAACAATTGTTTATACAGGCCTGGTGGCTGCATAATCAATATTTATCGTCTGCTCTTCCTCGCAGTCTGTGACTGTTGACGCAGCCTGACTGACAGTTAAAACCGCAGCAGCAGCATCCCTAAATTCAAGGGAAACGGCTCCCATCTCCGAAAAATCAAAGGCCGACTGAGTCAGAGTCTCTCCAGAGTGTTGGGAGCAGATCACTTTTTAACCCAAAGCATATTGATTTATATGGGGCTGTAATTGCTTCAGTGTGTCCTGGATTATTCCCCCCCATAATTGAGGCCTGGCAGTGGTCTCTTTCCTAGACATAGCCTCCCCAATGCCAGGTGGTGGGTAAAGAGGAGCACCGCACCCACTCCCCGGTCAGCCGGAGAGAGCCACGGAGCGGTGGCCTTTACCCCCAGAGCCACTGCTCTGCGTGGGATAAGTAAACAGCACAAACCCAATGCTTCCCTGCCTGCTTTGAGGTGTCTCTCGCAGGCCTTCGTCCAGCTCTAATTGTAGCATGAGGCAGCACATTACGAGTAGAGCTGGATGGGATGGACAGCTCGCTGCAATATCACCGACACTAAGTCCTGAATCTGTGCATTGTTCCAGATATTTGGCTCTCAGCTGCGGACTGTCTCTCCAGGATTAGTTGTGTCTGCTGAAACCACATATTAAGCCTGTAATTACTGTACATTGTACTATTGTTCAGCCATTTGTTTTGTGTTTTCGTTTCTGACTCACTGGAACATTCCTGGATTTTGTAATAGGTGGGAATGCTTGCACGCTCCAACAGGTCTCGAAATTAACGTGGTGTCACAAATGCGTGGGGTAGGAAAAATAAGTCACCTTTAAAAATAACACGTCTGGGACTTTTCACTTTGCGGTACACTATGTGCCGCATGTTGCACCTGCAGCTCATGTAGCCTTTGCAGAGACCTGTGATGTTTTAAATCAGCGGTGATGGATGCTGTCACCTGTTTGGGTCTCTAAAAAGACCTTAAATGCAGCAATCTGAGGCGGCCAAATCAAGACTGATCCCGCTCTCATGACTGCGTACCAAGTATGAAGCTTCAGGCAGCAGCCAGTTAACTTGAATGCTGGAAACACTGGGAGAACAGCTCGCCTGGCTCTGTCCAAAGTTCACCAAATCTGCCTAATTGCAACTCAAAAATGCAGTAATTAACATTTTATCTCATTTGTGTGATCTCAACCAAACCAGTAGTGAGTATTTAAGGGGTCAGCAGCTGACAAGTTGAAAAACATACATTTTTAAAGATCCACCATGCAGGATTTTTATATTAATAATTCTAAGGGCTACTTTTAATGAGAACAGTGAGATAATCCTGCAATGAAGAAGGATTTTTGGTATCGTTCACCTCATTGTTTTGGTTTCACAGCACCTTTAGGTTCAATCTAACTGCTCACGTCACCTTTGCAGAAGGTACTGAATGAATTTCTCCAAAGCTGGTGGAGATTAAAAGCAGAGCAAACACAAGATTTTAATTCCAGACCAAAGTCACAGTTAAGCTCTCCATGTCTCCTGCATGAGCTAATAGGCCTGTTCTGTTTGTATTTTTGTCTACAACAACTTTAGAAAGGGACACTGCCCTCATCCCATTTTTTGGTGTTTAAATTTGCTTCAAGTATTTTTTTATGACACACAACAAGCTGCAAACACAACAGGTAAACACATTTATCAGACATGGCAGAATATTGTTCATCTGTGTGTATCTGACTGATGAATGTAAATCTAACAGTCACTGTCCTTGTCGTCTTGTTTTGGTTCAGACGTACTGAAGAGGGAAACGTGGAGTCACTCTGTTCACAAGCTAGCTGCTAACTGTGTCTGTGAGGTTATCAAAGTTTTTCAACGAAAGCAGCAGCCTGTTGGGCAATAACCCTCTGAGGGTTTGATTCAACGTCATGATAACTAAATTGATTATGCAGCTTCAGTGTGACTCACTGGATGTAGACTGGGGATATTAGCCTGCCATTGGTTACACATTTGATGTGGCCTTTTCATTCCTTCGTCATATCTGTGTGTTGAACTTTTCAAAATCTCCTTCACTGCTGGAAACATCAACAGCGAGTTCCGTGCAGCAACAAACACACTGAAAATGTCAAGTTTTACTAAAGGTTCAGTGAGGAAACCCTGCCAGGTTATGCAGTAATTTAGCCAGTTTGATGCCCCTATAGCAGAATGTTAACGTTGGGTTCAGTCAGGCCGTTCTACACAGCGTTGTGTCAGCACTAGAAAAGGATCCGACTAAGCGAGAGCATGCAGCGTTGCAACTGGTAAGTGCTGTGGAATCACTATTGTTCATATAAGCAGTTCATTTAGGCTAAAAGTCCCTTCTTTGTTGGCCTATCTGTTGCTACACAGAACAGGCCACAATCCCATTAGCTACACTCAGCGCTGACTTTGTGTGTCTTTTGTTTTCATCACTCGTAGATGTGCGGTTGCAGCCTCCGAGTTCAGTTTGTTGAAAACCCTGCCACAAACAGTTAAACTGTCCCAGAGATATTTCAGAAAAAGTAGGTTTTGATCATCAACAGGCACCACAGAATTTCCTGGCCTTTTTGCCAAAATACTGTGACCCCTACATGTTACTACGGAAACATAGCGTATCAAAACAAGCGCCCCATTTCTTGCATTTGCTCCATGACGCACCTTTATTTCTTCCATATGAACAGCGTACGACACAGCGGAGGGCTTTGATAACAAGATCTGCTCTGAATGCATGGACACCAGTGCCACACACAAAGTCATGTAACGCCCGCACCACACCCTGTTTAACCACCGCGCTCGGGAAAGTAATACACACATAAGAGCGTCTTAAATTACCCCTACAATCACTTGCAATTGATACCCTGCTTTCATTGTTTTTGCAACGCGTTTTTGTTTTAGTCAATGGATAAAGGAGGAAATATAACAGAGAAACCATTGAGCTGGAAAAACCCTCAGACTAATCAACAGAATGGGGAAGGATTGCTCTCCTAATCAAGTGTGTGTTAGTGCATGTGTGTGTGTCCTCGAGTGAACCTGTGTGTGTGCCCAGACATATCTCCAGCCTCACACTTTCCCTCCCATCTTGGGTACCAGCCCTGCGATCGCCACACATAGCCCTCCATCCTCCATCAACGCTGCGGTTGTGCGTTCGCGCAGGCTTTTTTTTTGCGAAACCAAGAGCTTTATCTCGTTTTTCATCCACTCCGATTCTTCCTCTCGCTTTCATCCACTTGCATTCATTTGCATTCTGCACTGCTGTCTGCGTCCTGTGTGTGCGCCTCTGACTCTGACATTTGTTTGGCAGGAGAGTCCCAACGGGATGCTGTCAACACTACAAAAAATGTCCGTCTTCACGAGCCTTTTCGTATTGCTTTGTGTTACCATGCACAAGCTGCTCCAAATGAGGTGATAGAACTCAGTTTGTGACCAAGAATCTTCCTTTGCGCAAGAATGATTGTCTTTAAATGATGCAGAATGAGGCATATCACTTATCCGCTGTTTCTAAATTCAAGAAAATGTCCATGAAAAAGTGGAAATGCTTTGCAAACACATGAAGCTGTCCCAGTGGCATCATTTTGAAACATTTTCTCTCAGACAAGAGTGATTTGGAAATTCACTCCTGATCACAATCACTTGCAGAGATGGACACTTTTTGCAGCGCACACTGTCTCCCTCGTACACCAGAAGGGAGTGAAAACAAGCCTTTTCCTGGTCAATGAGTTCACTGGGGCGGACGCCTCCTTAGACAAGGCTGTGGGGGGGTGGTGGTGTAGGGAGGGAGGGAAAGAGAGAGGGAGGGAGGGGGAGGTTGGCGGTGAGGGGGTTCAAAAGTCTTGCAACCAAAGAGAAAAGAGAAGGAATGAGGGAGGGAGAGAAACCTGGCACCGAGGCAGCTCAGAGAACTGGGCATTAGAGACGCCGAGCAAGGGAAGGTCAGCCCCCCCCCCCTCTTCCTACTGCATCAGCAGATGTACCGCACAAGCTCATCATCAATACTGCCAGACCACAGCCACACTGATAACAGCAAAGTCTGTGATGAAGCAGTTCCACGCTAGATTGTGTGGGGTTTTATTTTATGTCAGCCGGCAGTGAAAGATGAGATCATTTCACCTCTAAGATCAGCTACCGACAGAGAGGCTTACGGGCATCAGTGACCGACCACATCCCTGATCTGATGCTAACAAGGTCATCCTCTGGTCTGAAAGCAGCTTTGTTCTTCTGATCACAGGAGCATCATTATCATATTCCACGCTGTATCAGTGACGCAATCCACCAAGGGGAGGCAAACGGAGACGCTGCTCGTTGCACATCTCGTCTCCGAGCCGCAGCCCTGGGAGGAACATAAGTCAGGTCACAGATTGAGGTCGCGGAAACAGTTAGGACTTAAAGGTTAGCAATAAAACACCGTTAATCAAAGCAGCGTCTGGCGAGGAGCTGAGATTTTCAATGCAGATGTGTTATTTAATGCACCAACCTTCTGCGAATGTGCAGTTTGCAGGAATGTGGAAAAAGGGAACTGAAGTGTCTTTTCATTCTACAGTATTTTTTTTTCTGTTAATCAAATATTTGCTGAAAATGGTGAACCAGAATGGAAGCGGACACCTTTAATTGCAAATATTTTCAGTTTACAATTATGTTTCAAACTTTAAAAGCTTGTATCAATACATATCTGGTATTTCTTTGAGGGAAAACCTATATAATGCAGGACAATTTCATTTTGTTGTTATCACCTGAACCGTTTACTCTTCACTCTCCTAACACCTTATGAGAGCTGTACTATGTTGTACCAATGCTAACCACTTCTACTGCTTCACATGAAAAGTTTTCAATGTTTTCATCGTCTTCATCAAGACAACAGTCATTTTCTCTATTTTTAGGTTTGGTAGGACAGTAATGGAAGAAGATGGAGCAGTGTGAGTGTCACATGAAGAGCTGCAGGCGACAGGCTGAACACCTCCGACTCCTGAACAAGGTAACTGGCTTCTTAATTAAAACAACTTGTGTTTGTTTGGCTGCACTCTACATAGACAGACCAGCTGCTTTTTTTGTTTGTTTGTTTGTTTTGTGTCTGATGAAATCTTCAAGAACCTAAAAATTGTTTTTTTACAGAAGCTTCTAGGATCTGAGCAGACAGCATCATTGCTCATTAAGTGTTAGCATGTGCTGTTCCCACGGCAACTATAGGTGTCACTAAGTCAACCAGGACTGAAATTTTAAGTATTAAAACTTACATTTTTTTTGTTGGTCAACTAATCATAGACGTTGTAGCATCTTGTGACTTTGCAGGATAGATGAAGGTTGAGCTCAGAGGCTCCCAACAGTTTGGCTCGTCTTGTGACAGTCACATTTGAACAGATGCCTATTTATAACTCTTTGTCATGAGCTGCAAATAACTGTGCTGTGAGAGGAGGGATCTGTCTGTGATTTTATGTGAATAACTTTTACCACTGTTTCCAAAAAATAAGCAACAGATTTAGCAAAAGTCAGAAAAAATGTGCCAGTTTTGGTATTTTTTGCTACAAACCAAGCTAGATAAAGATTAGCTGAAGTCTATCATGTAGTTTGTTTGCTGTCCACAGTTTTAAACCTTCAGTGTGGATATTTTGTCTCCCCCTTCTGGCAGTGAGAGTAATTACAGGAACACTGTAAATGCGTAGCTCTGATGTTTTCTTTGCAGTTGATCACTTTCTTTAATCAACTGTAATCTTTCCTCCAAACAGTTTCTTTTTTAGATGGAAATGCTTTTAATGAATGTTTTTTGAAGGCATCATAGAATACTCTTTCTCTGTTGCTATGGTTGCTCTCTCTTCAGCTCTGACTTATTGAAAACTGTGGGCTGACGTAAAACGCATCGCTACAAGTACGTCAATGCGGAAAGCAGATTTAAAACTCCATTGTGCTGTGAAATACAGAGATTTACTTATCGCTTGGAGGTTCAATCAGCAATGGCTGGAACGTAATAGTCCTACATGCTAGCTTTAAGCTGTGCCTGTTTAACATGTTTGCATATTACTGTGAGCCATTCATATAAAGAGCATGGTTTTAGTGAAATAAACCAATATTTTCACCAAAAAAGAAAAAAACTATCAATTTTCGTTGGCCTCTGTCTCCTTGAGCAGCCTACGACCCCTTACATCTACCTTGCGTCCCCCTCAAGTGCCCAGCATCCTCATGTTGAACACCACTCATTACATTTAAGTCTGTATGATGAGTGTGAATCAGTGCTGCCTGTGTCATATAGGGACATGTGATGGTCCTGGCGTTTTGACCCACTTTACCCCAGCAACCCTAACTGTTGCGTGTCCCGTTTGGATCCAGCCTTGCTTGTGATGCCTTTGCCCTCTCTCCCCGAGCAGACTGGGATACACGCTGCTGTCCTGTTTTATGATTGGGTCACAACACTGATCTCATGTTTAGTGGTTGGATCAGTGTTGATAACTCATCCCTGCTGAAAGCAACTCTCTTTAAGCCCTCGCCGAGCTTGTGTGAAGCTTCATTCTGTCATTGCTGCTTCTTGTTTTTCCCCGAGTGGGAACACTGTGGGGCCCCTAACACGAGGACAGCGGGTGGCCCCGCACACTGGGTGACACCAAGTGTTTGTCAGTGCACCAGTAAAGCAGACAGTTGCACTGAAAGAGGCTTAGATATGAAATAAATGTTGTCTTCACCAGAAGTTCTCAAGTGTTTACTGCCCATTTTTACATCAGTTCACAGGAGGATTACATGTCATTTATAGAGGACTGAAAATCAGCAGGAACAGAGAGAAAACCAGAGTCATAAACCAGCATTATTACTAGAAATTACAGTGACAATGTGCAGAAAAGCAGCAAATCCTGCACAGTGGCACAAAGTTTGGAGGAAACATGACTTCAGATGTGGCTCTCTGGTTATCTCTGGCTCATACTGGCTCTGCATTGCAATAAAAATGTCATATTTTTCCATATTCCCTCCACTTCACGTGTATTTAGCTTTTTTTTTATTCATCTTTTTATTGGAATCCAAGTCAGAAGCACTGTGCTAAGTAAGTGGAAAAGTGTTTTTAATGATTTATTTTAGCGTTAATCAGCTCAGACGCTGGAGAGACTGCTGAATTTCACGGTGCCAAATTACGCACAACAACCAGGAGTCATATCACAACCTCCGGCTTGTCTTTAACTTCTCCTTCACGGGCTTTCAGGACATAAAATAGTGTGTTGTGTGAGTGAGAGCTGCTGCTGGTGGGGCAGCACCGCTTTTTCTATCTTGATCTGAACTACTAACCAAGTCTTAGAGAGATCAAAATTCAATCCCGTTCTGAGAAAAAAGAGAAATGACGTTATTTGAATATGTGCCCAAAATCCTTAATGAATAACTTAGGACGAGTAGGAGGCAAATGCTGCCCCAGCTGTTTCCTGTTGAAAATGTCTGTGTAATGTAGATAAATGTGAGGGATTTTCTCTCTAAATCCGTCTCCTGTTCGCTAAATCTCACTTCTCCAAAACGAGCCTGCGCAATGGAACAAAGTCGGAATATTGAGATGTGACATTGCCCGCATCTCATCCTCTTTCTCCCCGTTTTTAATGACTTCAAACAAGTTCATTTTCGCCGGGCTTTGTCTTGCGGAGACCCGTGGGGATGTCTAGCGCTCTTTCCTTTCAGTGGCATTTATGTGATGTCTTCAAGGTAACTTACCTGATTTCCTTTGACACTATAGATTATCACCTTGGTTCTTCACTTGCTCACTATTTGCACAGAGCATCCTTACCTAGTTTAAACTGAAACAATAAAATGCAATTTCTATCGCTTATTTATATTTTTTGCAGCTTTTTAAATGCATGATAAATGTGGATTTATTCTGATTTTGTATCCTTTTTATTCAGTTATGGAGAAACTGTCGTGCATGCCTTGGTGATTTTGATTTCTTGCACTAAATCAGTGATTGTTCACCTTTTGCTTTAATTGACTTTTTTCTTTTGGAAAGCTTTGACATGAATCGTGCATGAGTTTCACTGCACGGATGAATGGGGGGTTTTCATCCTCCAGCGCCTCTGTGCGCCCTGCGCTCTTTTTCACCAGAAAGCCCTAATGCAGCTCTGCAACTTTCAAAGTAATTACTGCTGAGTCTGCATTATTAAGTGCTAAATATCTAACCTGATGCGGCGGGGTTGAGAGAGAGGAGAGCTTAACATGAAATACTTATGGGCGTCGGGGCTGTGCGGTTGGGTTTTGTGATGTGGATGGATAATGTCCTGTGTTTATTCTCTTTATTATGTACATTTGGCCCAGTCAGCTTTCTCCGCTGGCTTTGGCGGGAGAGCCTTTTTCCATCTCACATTTTGGATCGGAAAGATCCCCCGGCGGTTTTTGCATCTTTTATTCTCCTTTCTGAATTTCGCAGCACTTTTGTGCGTAATAATGCGCTGACAGCTGGGTTTTGGCACAGTGGGGGAAACGTTGAGCTGGTTGTTAATGTAAGCTGTGATGGATAAAATGCTTTGATTAACATGGATTGTTGTCGACTCACTCGGACATACTATACAGGAGCTGAGTAGAGCGATGATAAGGGGGGAAAGCGTGTTTGCAATTTGGACGCGCTCTGCTCGGTTTTGCGCACAGGCGCTCCGGAGCATCAGGGCTGGTCAGCCTCCTGTTTGACTGACTTTGGCACCAAGTGGAACTTTGGATTTAATACATTTTCCTCCACATGTCCAAAACCCTGTAAAGTTGCCATCTGTTTCTTTTCTTTTTTAGCAGAGGTGATGTTAAAGAAAAACGTTTAAGCTCACTGGTTTTTGGAAATGTTGCCACTACTGAGCCGTGAAGTGTCACAGCAGATTTGCGCAGTGGCAAACAGTGCACTGATAAAATGTATGTGCTCTTCAGTGATTAGATGAAACTCTGCCTGTGATGATGCTCTGTCTCTAACAGCAATGGAAATGTTAAGGCTCTCCCTCTCTCCCTGTGCGCAGAGTGCGATGTGCTGTATCTCCTGTAGCCACACCCTCTCACTACTGCTGTGCGTCCTCACCCTGACTCCGACGGCAACAGGGGCGGGCCCTGAGACCCTGTGCGGGGCGGAGCTGGTCGACACGCTGCAGTTTGTCTGTGGAGAGAGAGGCTTTTATTTCAGTAAGTGCACCTTTTTATTTATTCATAAAGGTTGGCTGTATATGTCCCAGAGCTCTCCACCTCCAGCGAGCTCATAAATAAAAAAGCAGCTAGTTTGACATCTTGTCTTGACTTTCTCTGCATTAATGTTTCTTCCTTCATTCATTCCTCTTCCCACTGTTACATCTTATCTTTACGTTCACAGGCATCCCTGCACATTTGTTTTAATGCTCTACTCTCCTTGTTGGTTCGAAGCCCAGATTTTGAACAAGAAAACCCAGGTGAAATACAGAATAATGATAAGTAACTATTGTTGGTGGCAAATTGTAGTTTTGCCCACGGGGAAAGGGCTTTAAGTGGAATTTGGCTGACTATCTCTAAGAAAAAGGAGGGGTAGAAAGTAAATGTTGCAGTGAAGTTTTTTCTTTTTTCCACCAGAGAAGGGAAAGCTACCCAAAGAAAACCCTCGACCAAGAATCCAGGATTTAAATCTCCAATTTTTCCATTAAGGGTACAACCTAGCCCAGAACAGCACAGGATATATGGAGCTACCAAGGTTAGGTGCAATGTTCCACCGGCAGCCAGTGTTTCTCAGGACTTCTATCCTGATCTATCTGTCAGATACAAGCAGCATGACTGTACATTAGCAGTACAGCTGGCTCAGACGCTGCAGAGCTGAGTTTATAAGGTCATTATTCACATTTCTTTGGCTGACATCCCTCAATTAAGCCAATTTGCACAAAATGCCCTCAAGGAGCATCATGTCTCCACCAAAAGTCTTTTTTTATTTCTATTAGAATTGATTGTCCCTCTGACTCCTGTGCAGATTTGACATAACAATCCATTATGAATGGTTTGGTTCGGTCCCAAAATTATGAAGGATTTTCCACATGTGGTAGACTTTGTCAGCTGCCAGTTTCAAAAAGAAAAGAAGATATAGGATTTCTGTGGGAGATCAGCAGCATCTATAATGCATTTGCAGTTGTTCTCTTTTCCAGTAATTGATTGCTTTCGCCTTAATCTGAACCTAGAATGGTTTAAAAATGCACCTTTTTAAGAACTTGGTGACTGATGTGAGATTAGAGGCCAGAAGGGGGCTCGTCTTTCAATGGCAGCGTCAGTGCAACAGAGCATTAGTGGTCAGTGTAGAATCATGCAAATCTAAAGCCAGCTAAACCCCAAAATATGTAGATGAGTCCATTTTATTGGTACGATGATAGCAAATAAATCTAGAGCCGTGTCAGCAGTTCTGCAATGCTTACATGCTTCCAAGGCTAACATGCTGATTTGTAGCAGGGATAATGTTTACCAACATCGTTTAGCATGCTAACATTTGCTAATTTTCACAAAGGAGGACACATTTTATGGAAACCCACTCGATGTTTGCTCTCAAATGAAACGTTGTGGGATCCAGTCGTCATTAGGGTTCATCCTCTGGCGTTCAAAAATATCTGTACAAAATTTCATTGCGATCTTCAGAAAAGGCAACTGGACGACTCTTTATTGGTTCTTGAAGACATTTCACCTCTCATCTATAAGGATCCCTGTTGACCTGGATGACTGAAGATCTACACAGACAGACTTCATGCCAGTGCGAATGTGTCAGTCTGGACCAAACTGGTTTACCAATACTAGCTAGTCTGGCCTAAAAAGTGGATGTCATGTGTTTAATCTTACTGGGAAGCATCTACAGCAACAATGACATCCTCGGACATTGTGCTCTTGGTGAACATGAGATATGATGATGGTTTGATTTTGCCTCAGAGGAGACTGAACAAACAGGGATGACAATAATGTTGATATTTGACATTTCTGTCAGACAAAGCTCATCTAAACGTCTGATTCGGTCCACAATATCTGCACATGAAGAGTACGGTTAAGGTTTGGGAAACACTGTGGCAGGTTTCAGCTAGAAAAAAACACCTGGTTATGGTTATTGAAAGATCATGGCTGTGATTAATAAAAAGAACATTGATTGTAGGACTGTGATGAGACATGCTAGACCCAGATCCACCGCCCCAACCTCCATTTTCCATGTGCCTTGCAACATTTCTGCACTGACACTGACCAGTGGCACTGTGGGTAACTTGTGTGGTGCAGAATTATCTAATATTGGCGTCATTCCCTTGGAAACTGGGTTGGATTGCAGCGTCTTGTTCATGCACAGCTTAGTGTGGCTAAAAGTTTGGTTTCATATTAGACGATTCTATGGCACATGACATGTTCAGTCCAGGATTAGTCCAGGCAGTAGCGTGTCCAATGTGCAGCTTCAGACAACGTAGGAGAGTGGACAGTTTTCATACATGAGCAAATTTAATGGTTGATCCACCACTAACCCTCTCCCTAGTCTTCACCAAATGTGTCAGCTGCCTAACATTAACCATGCTAGTGTTGGTTATGCTAAGGCCTCGCACAAAATAAATTCAAATCGTTGGCATAAAACATTCCAAAAATGTCTTTGGATGTCATGATATTTCTGTACAGACACCAGTGTCACCATGCACCTTGCTGGTGCTCCACACCATCCCACTCCCTGCAGCTTTTCCATCATCTTTCTCTGCATCAGGGCCTCTGTATGGCATTTGCCAGAAAGCTGCGAGTCTTGTTCGTCCAGATGCTGCTGGCAACACCCGCGCGCTGTGAAGTGGTCGTGACAGCCTGCTCGATTGCCAGTTTTCTGCCAGTTAAGACTTTTTGGTCTCTGGATTCCCTCTGCTGCAGCACTTCTCTTGTATAAATGGCCATTTAAGCTGAGAAACTGTGGAAAACCATGGACTACATGATAAAACATTACAATTTAACGAATACAGGCCTTGAATTTGTCTTCTACACTTGATTTGCCCAGAGCCATCCGCCGTTACTTTGGATTCTGAGTAAACAGCTGCTTGGAGTTGGACTTTGGAATACTTTACTCGTCAGTCGCTTTACTCAACATCAAGCTCCCTGGTAGAGCTTCTCTTAACGTGTCATATCTGAGTTTGATGGTGTGTAAAATGGTCCCAAGAAGTGTCTGCAGCTGTAGCTTAAGGTTGCTGAAATGTTTAAGATTTTGACAAGGTATGGGGGTGTCCAGAGATTGGATGATGTGTGAATGTGACAAAGGGTTGGCTACTGATGGTGGAGTTTTACTACAGTTTTATTAATGTTTCTCACAGGCTGACTTGTAGTGCTGTCCATATCCATCTCATGAGAAAGTGTTGAATAGAGGCCAATGCAACTCATGAATCCTCATGCAGGATACACTTCTTAAACGGGAACAGACCTTTTTGCGGTAGGGGGAATGTATTTGTCTTTCCCGCATTACCTTACACGGAGCTGTCACTGAACTACACAGCGTCCATCTATCAATGCTACATTTTCCTGTTGAAAAAGAGGTGTATTTCACGAACACTCCATCCTTTCTCTGAAAAGATGATGAGGTTTGAGCAGCAGGGTGCTGTGCCTTGGAAAATATGCTGCTCACTGTCGTCCTCGGTTTCTCTCCCTCTCTCATATTCTCGCTGTCATTCCTTTTTCTTCTCCTTGCGTTCGGTTGCGTAAAATATCTGGAGAATCCATTTGGGTCCTGCCGTCTATAGGACCCGGCAGCGTAATAGCTCGGCCAAAGGAAGCATGCTCCTTTCCCTGAACTCTTCCCCTCCAGTCTGGCCGTGTTGAACTTGGCAGCCTTCTGATTGATAATGTGTCCAGAGACAGTGTTGCAATGACAGTGAGCTTTCTGTGCTCGCAGTGCTTTTGCCAATCCACCTTAAGCATGCCACCACTAAAGTAGCACACTTGCATTTCGAGCCTGCAGATTTCCTACCCTGACAGAAATGCTAAACACTAGTTGGTGGAAATATTTTTTAAAGGTAATTAAACAAACTGCGGTCTATGAAACAGAAAAAAAAAAAAAAATCCACAACCGTAGTCAGTTTTTCCAATTATTAGCCTGACCTAGAAATCCTCAGTTGTCTTTGTAATGCTTTAGCAGGCAGAACTGCGGGGTGATTTCACTGGGATGTTCATTCCATGAATCAGATCTGTTATGGGACTTTTTTTGGCTAAAGCGTAAGCACTAAGTAGCTCCGTGTCCTCAGTTACTTTTAGTTCATGCTGAAATATTCAGTTATTCTGGAGGGAGCACAAGATATCTAATCTCACTGTGTATTTCTGGAAAATGAAGGATGCACAACCTCTCATGAATTACGACAGGATGAAATAATCCGTCGTTTTTGGCTGAAAGCTTATTGTTGCTACACAAAGTTCTAATGAAAACAAGGCAGGCAAATATGTACCCTGCTTCTTTTTTTTTTTTCGGTGTTACTTTGGCTCGCCGTAGTCGCACGTGAATTGAAGACGGAAAGGAGAGGGGAGGAAATTGCTTTTAGCTGCCATTGATGAGTCTTCAGTGTTCGTCCTCGACTATTTCATTCGGAGCTACTTGAGCCGGAGGGCGAATGTGTAAACAGCACGTCACATGCACGCACGCGCACATGCACGCACGCAAACACACGCATAGCTAGGCCTTGTCCCTCGGCAGCAGGGGATTATGCGGATTACAGGATGATCAGGACACCCCTCCACCCTCCCTAGTTTTACACTGGACCTGAGCGCACAGCGGAAGGCGCTGCGATCTGAAGAAAGACCTCCTGTGTCCTCTCCATCACTGCGAAAAAGGTGTCGTTTTCCTATTAGGACCCGAACTAAAAAATCTCTGACCCCTCTGTGAATTACTCCTCGGCGAAACAAAGAGGCATCTCATGAAAAGGACAGGCAGGCGTCCTCCAGATTTAGATCTGTACATTAGGTGAAGCTGAGACTGGAGGGATTTAAGGACACTCGGGCACTAAGCAGTGCCTTACCTTTGAAACTCCTCACCAGTTTAATCCACCCACATAATGTAGGACCTCCACAAAGAAAAACAAGGATACATCTCGTAACATTAGCGCAGAGATCACAAAGATTTATAGTCAATATCCTTCCTGGCGTTCTCTCCTGTTTGCCTCAAGTAGTGTCATAAATTGCATTTCATTTCGCAT